ATTATAGTATCTTGAGTGCTTTGTTACTTTAATCAGTTAAGATTATACGGATTGAGGACCAATGCAGGCCGGGGTTGATGGGTGATGAGTGATGAATTTGTTCCAGCGTTACCATGGGGATTATGAGGTTGGATTCCTGGAGCCCTGTTGAAGTTTATTAGCTCTCTGGGAAGGTGGAGAAGCTTCTATCTTTGAAATGGAGTGAGTTCTTTCAAGCTAATAGAACTTGGTGCAGGAAAACGAAGTGGGCACTCTCTGGGTTCCTATCTTACTGGTTTAGACTAGGGGTGCCTCCTCAACACTCCCCCACCATCCCCACACCCAGAGCCCTCAGTGGTCCCCCTACAAAGACAACTTTAAAGAGCAGGAATCCACCATTACTAAATTACAAATGATAATAGCTTAGAAGTTGCCAACTTCCTTTCGGAGGATTGGACCTTAAAAACAAAATAAGAACCTTGCTGTGTGATTCTGCACTGAAGCAAGGGGGGCTAAGCGGGGGGACAGTTCTCCCTGGCCCACGGCCATGGACAAGCCTGCTGGCCCAGCCTGAGAGACAGCAGAAGAATAAATACGGGCTTCCTTCAGCTTTTATCTGAAAAACTTGGGCAGATTCTGGAGTTCGGCAGTGGGGCCTGCGGAGTGCTCAGCAGCAGATTCTAAAGCCCAGTTCTTGATGAGCAGCATGTGGCAAGCCTGGTGGTGGTAAAGCTAACAATAACAGCAGACAAACTGTCCAAGCCACCATCACGGCTTCTCTGCGTCAATGCGACAGTCTATCAGGAAGCCTCCACATCATTACATCACAGCAGTCTTCTAAAAAGTAGCTCCCTTGCTTCCTATCTTTCAATGGATTTTTTCCATCTAGCTTAAAATTCAAACTCTTTCCAGGAGGCCTCTCCCAAGCTCCCCGGGCTCTCCCCCTCCCCCCCTCCCCCTCACTCAGGCCACAGGGGCCCTCTTTCACTTCCTGGAACACACCAGGCTCATGCCCACCTCCTCATCCCGATTTGGCACCAGCTATTCCCTCTGCCCAGCTGACAACTGCTCCTTGTCCAGGCCTCAGCACAAACAGCATCTCCTCAGGGAAGCCTTTTAGTTACTCTCCATGGACTTACACCTGTTTACTACGTGTTTCTTATCACTACATTATAAGCTCTGCAAAAGCAGGGAGCTCATCTTTTCTGTTCCTCTCTGGTGTTCGCAACTCTTAGCATAGCATCGTGTACACAGAAAACCTTAATCCTCGCAAGCCTGGGAAATAGGTATTATTGTTGCTATTTTTCACATGAATCTTAAAGCGATGGCCCAAGGTTGCATTACTTTAAGTGTTCAAACTAGGATTCAAATCCAGATTTTTCCACTCTCAGTGCCACTCTGATTCTAGTCACCCACAGTGTATTAAAGACCCAGTGTCATCAAATTCATTCAAACCGCCAGCTCACATATGACTCAACCTGATTTCTTGCTGTACTGGTTTCCAATGCATGTTGCGTTTGAAGAACGAGGCCGAAAGGACTAAATGCAAATCACAGAAAAGCACAAGTATGGTACCTTCTGGTGGCCTCGTGAGCCCAGCTATGCGTGAGAGTTGAAGATGCCAGAGGGCCTGGCCTTGGGAACTGGCTGGGGCCTGTCCCGATGGCTCCCTGTGGACTGCCTCCTTTTGGGGAATGCTCAAGGGAGTTTAAGGTAATGAAAGTATTTTCTTTTGTTTTAAAAATAGACACACTACCATCGACTGATTAATGGATAAACAAAACGCAGTACATCCGTACAGTGGAATATTATTCACCTGTAAAAGGAATGAAGTGTTAACACGCTACAACATGGATGAACCTCGAAAATGTTATGCCAAGTGAAAGAAGCCACAAAAGGCCACGTATTGTGTGATCCCATTTATATGAAATATCCTCAGTAGGAAAATCCATAGAACAGAAAACAGATTCGTGGTGCCGCGTGCGGGGAGAGTGACGGCCTCATGCGTACTTCCTCTGAGGGTGACGAAAATGTTCTGGGACTACACGGTGGGGATGATCGCATGAGACTGTGAATGTACTAAAAGCTACTGAACTACATACTTTAAAATGGTTAAAATGGTTTTATGTAAAAAAAAAACCAATGAATTCAGAAATAGAAAATGATAGCTGTACTTCTCAGTTACTTTTGAACAAAATAAATATACGTAACTCTGGCAAGCTTGACAAAAAGAGTGAGACATCAATGTACTAAATAAGAACTAGAGTTATGATATGCACAGGTCATACTGGAAACCTTAATGGGACACGTCACCCTCTCATCAGGAGAACAAAGGAAAGGGCAGAATGTGTGGCCACTGCCCGGAGAGCGGCTGGTGCTGGCCTCGGCCGGGGAGCGGGCGGCCGCGGGCGGGGCTGCTGGCTGTGCTTGAGGAGTCTGCTCTGCCTCTTGCTTTAGGACCTGAAAGCAAAGGGCACGGCAGTGATGGTGGCTCCTGGAGGCAGACACAGACACTTCCCACAGGCCGTCCTCCTAGGTAGCTGCCACAGCTCAGAGCCGGCGTGACTCAGTGGCCTCAGCATCATCTGGACAGGAGTGTAGAAAGGATTTCAAACTGCTGTCTTGCCTTTGCAAAAGCTGGAGTGGTTCCACAAGAAATGGACTCAAGAACACATGTGCCCAACTATTAGAAAAGCGGAAGGTCAGAGAAGTTCCAAACCGGCTTTCAAGGCACTGGCGCCCAGGATGTGGCCTTGCTCCCTGCAGGCTCTGCTCGCAGCCCCATTACCCGGCACTGCCCCGGCCAGATGGATTTATTACCACCTCCTCACTCCCTGATCCTACTGTTCCCCCCCCAACCACCTCCCCCTCCGTCACATTTAAATCCTGCTCTTCCTTCGAGGACCAATTCAAGCCCCACTTTACTCAGAATTTAAACCACACCATAATTGCATTCCATTGTTTTTGTGCCTGGACAATTTATCTCCCTCACCCAGATGGCAAGTTTTCTGACAAAAACCTCTCCTTGTAATTCTAGGGTGAACCCAGTCACACAGGGCCTTCACTGCCTTCTGGGCCCCTTTCCCTCTATTCCCACTGCTCCCTGGCCTTCCGCCGCTGGTCAATCTGTCAGTGATTGGCTCGGAGCCAGAGGTGAATTAAAGCAGACCCGTGAGACTCGTCGTCCTGGGGCTTGTGCTGCAGCTACTGGTAAGACATCCTCTTTCTCTAGGAATTGCTAAACTAACAGATGCTGCTGGGGACCTCTATTGCCAACTTTTGGATGCTGGTCTGAGAATAAAGCCACACAGAGAGCAGAGCCAGGAGACAGCAGGGTCCTGAAGGCTTTCTTTGAGGCTCTGGATTGTAACTGCCCTAGACACGAGCACTTTCGCAGTGATGAGGGCCAACAACCTCCCTCCTTGCTGCTGGCTGCTTGCTTCCCACTGAAAGAATGCTAATGCCCCTCCCAGCATTTACTGTGGGCCCCGGGCAGGCACAAAAGAAGTATCTGTTGACTTGCTGACAGTTTATTTACAGCTATGTCTAGGGCGGTTAAGCGGAATAATTTTTTCATTAAAAAATTGCTATTGTGGTAAAATACACCTAACGTTCACCATTTTAATCATTTTTAAATTTACGTGGAGTTCAGTGGCATTGAGTCATTCAGACTGCTGTGCAACCATCACCACTGCTTCCAGAACTTTTTCATCCTCGCAATCAGAAACTCCGTCCCCGTTAAACACGAACTCCCAATTCTTCCCTCTCCAAGCCCTGGTAACCATTATTTCACTTGGTCTCTGAATTTGACTATTCTGGGTACTTCACATAAGTGAAATCATACAGTATTTGTTACTTTTGTGACTGGATTATCTCACTTAGCATAATGTCCTCAGGAATAATCCATGTTGTACGATGTGTCAGAATCTGCTAGCTTGTTAAGGCTGACTGGTACTCCATGTATGTATACAGCACATTTTGTTTATCCATTCACTCGGGTTGTTTCTACTTTTTGGCTGTTGTGAATCACGCTGCTGTGAACACAGGTGTACAAATATCTGTTCAAGTCCCAGCTTTCCGTTCCTCTGGGCCTATACCCAGAATTGGAATTGCTGGGTCATAGGATAATTGTTTAACTTTTTTTTTTTTCTGACAGAGATCAGCCCTGAGCTAACATCTGCTGCCAATCCTCCTTTTTTTGCTGAGAGAGATTGGCCCTGAGCTAACATCATGCCCATCTTCCTCTGCTTTATATGTGGAGTGTCGCCACAGCATGGCTTGATGAGTGGTAGGTAGGTCCGCACCGGGGATCCGAACTGGCAAATCCCAGGCCACCAAAGCAGACCGCATGAACCCAATAGCTATGCCACTGGGCTGGCACCAGTGCTATTTAACTTTTTAAGGAACCGTCCCACTGTTTTCCACAACGGCTGCACCATTCTACATTCTCACCGACAGTTGTTATTTTCTGCTTTTTGGAAAATATTTAGTTTAAAGATAAGACTGGGGTAATGCTGGGAAGAGAACTTATGTCATTAGCCCGTCTAGATAAGAAGGAAACTGTTGAGTTAACGCCACATTACAGCTAGGAGCCCTGGCCGGCATAGTTCTCCTTGGGCTCTTGTGACAGCACACTTCTTCATGAACTCCCACTCTACTGAACACTCACAGGGTGGGCCACACCCCACTATCGGGGTGGAGACGCCTGCTCTGGACGGGAGAGGGGAGAGCCGGACACATTCTGACCTGTGGACGACCAGTTTCCTCACACCCCCATGGCAACCCATTTTGTTTCCAACAAGAATGAATTTGCCTTTTTATCTATCCCAGGATGCTCTTACACGTACGGTGGACCTGCAACACCGTCCCACATGCACGGTGTGCTCCCAGTTAGATCCGTCGGCAGCTGCTGCCTCTTTACATGACCCCCTTCCCCGGCTTCCCCTGACTGCGGGCAACTTTTCCGCTTGACTCCTTAGGAAAAGATGGAGGGCATGTGAAACACGAGATCCAGGACAGACTGCCATCTTGTAAAGGCTTTATTTCCTACTTCATCATCGTCTCATACAGACTCCGAGGCACCATCCTTTGTTTCAATTTGGTATCTTCGTGACTTTTTGCAGTTTTTCCTTAAACAAGAAAATTTTGAGTAAACACTGTATATTGCCAGTTAATCTTTTAACAATAATTTAAAAATGCCGTTGCTGTTGTATCATCAATGCAAGAGGACAATCAAAGTACAGTATGAGGGAATTCACAAGGTACTACATTGTGACAGACGACTCACACGTGGCGATGGTGAGACCACAGCAGCAGTATGTACATGCACCCAAGTGCTTCGAACCCGAAGACGTGCAGGTTGCGCAGAGCGTGTGGATTTTACAGCGCATCTGGTAAGCCCGGCTGAGGACTCTGTACCTTTGCAAAAATGCTGACGAGCGTCCCCTTCAGGATATAGGACATCTGTCTTGTCTACTGGCTTCATGGCTTTTTCACTACAAAAAGTTCACTGAATCAGACAGTCTGAAGCACTTCAAAAATTCTTAAAAAGTAAGAACGCTGACAAAATAAAATTAACTTAAAACACTCAAATTCAACGTGGAAATAAACCAAACTCATAAGTAACAGTGCAAATTTAACAGAGAGGCAGTCAGTACTGAGAGCGAGGGTGTTCAGAATCTCTTAAAATGTACATCTTTAAAACTTTTATTTTTTAAATCTATTTATATCTTATTTACCTTTTTTTGTTTAATATACTGTGTGTAAAAAAGATGGAGACAAAAATAGTTTTCTGAGCTATGAAAAAAATTAAGTTATTACAGGCACATTTACTGTTTCATTCTAGAAACATCTCAGGTTCACAGGTTGAACATTCAGCAGCTGTGTGTGTTTTTAAAAACATTCTTTGACCTTGGGGAAACGAGATCTCTTCTTTTGGGTGGAGTTTGGTTGATGCCGATGGTGTGATTATGCAAATTACAGTGAATTATTCCAGGATAATCCGTGCAAACTTGCATCCTCACGGGTGGAGCTTCTCCCAGGGCGGCTCCTCATCGCCGAGCTCCTCTACGGAATTGGGTTCTCCGGGCGACTGAGCCAGTGAGGCCGTGGGGGGATGTGGGGCCCAGCGGGACGGAGGGCGGCGGTGTGCTGGTCTCTCGGGCCTGGAGAAGCAGGGCTCTAGGGTTGGGGCTAGTGCGGAACAAGGTAGTTCCTTCAGAGCCGAGAAAGAGAAAGACAACGTTACTCAGAGCAACAGCACCTCCCAGGGTGATTTCCCACAAACACGCTTCTCAACAGATTCAAGCTAAACATAGCAGACAAGGGGCAACTCCTGAGTGCTCATTTATGTTTTGCTCATGGAGAATAACTTAAAATAGTATGTAAAGAATTCAGCATGAATGATCAGTGATGACAGTAATGGGAAGATATCAAATCATAATCAAAAGACGGCAATGCTGTGAGATGGGTGTTGACAGAGCACCTTCAGAATTGAGCTGGAGCATACGGCAGGCAGCTTGCACAGGCCACGTGTCGTATTCCCACCCAGTGGATCCCACCATCTCGGCCCTCTTGAAGGATCTATTTGCCTACGGTGACTGGTCCTAGGAAGCCAGCCTCCCTGTGCCTTGGCCTGTTGGGGGCCCATGAAGAGACCTATGAATTTCATCCAGCTGTTCTAGCAGCAAGACTCACCTTGAAACACTCGGCTACTGTTTATTTCAAATTGACTGGCAGTGGTTAAACGAACTCCCACTACAAGGAAAAAAGGCTGCAGGCAGGAATTTTAATCTAGGTCCAGTTTTATTTAATGACTCTTCCTTGTAGCAGCATTTTAACACGCAGAGTCAGAGCGCACTTGTGCTTTTGTGTTATGGGCATCCCACACCTTCTAAGAACAGACCATGCGAGACACACTCAACTGTGGTGCAAATCGGCTGTAACGCTTACTCAAGGGCCACTGCTACTGTTTTGGTTCTAAAGAATGTTGAGCTACTTGTCCTTAGTCTGCACAGGAGGAAACAAGGACGCCCCAAGTTGGAATTTGCTGGCACACAGAAATGTGACAAGCCTGTGGCATGAGGAATCAGTGAGTTCTACAGGGTGGAGCCAGCCCGTCTGCCCAAATGATCCTCCAACAACGAAAAGGTGAGATGGTACACCACGCGATGAGGAGTGACGCAGCACAAAGCTCCCCGAGCATCAGGAAGTAAGTCGGAGGACAGAAAGAGATGTGACAAGCAGCTGCGAGACCAGAGGAGGAACGTTGAGTCAGCAGAGCAGAGAAGCGGAGGCGGGAAGAGAGAGTGGCTACGTCAATGGGCGATGTGAGGAGGGAGAAGATGGAAGGCGGAACACACTGGAGCACGCACTGACGCTGTGCTTCCAGAAGAATGATGGAGTGAGGCAGTTTCCCGGCCTCCCCGCAGGCTCAGCAGAAGAGGAGCATCAGCCGTGGAGACCACTTCTTCAGGTTCCCTGCCTCCTCTGCCGCTGGCACTTTATATGACAAGGGGACGCTTGAGTCAGCAAAGCACTTATGCTAATGGAACCATGACAACCAGAAACCCCTCACCTGTGAAGACAGTGTCAGCTGAAACAGCTGACACGCAAATTAACCAGCCAGGGGCGAGCTGTGCTGACCTCACCTCTGCCAGTGCAGGAGGGGACCCACGGTTTGGGAGATCTGCTCCAGTTTTGTGTCATTTTGTGTCTCTGCTCTCAGTAGTAGGAGAGCTGTGTGTGTGTGTGTACTGCTTGTGTTGTATATGAGTGTGTATTGTGGCTGTGTGTTTGTGTGTGTCAAGTGTGTACTGTAATGTGCATTTTTTTTTGCTGTGTATGAGTGCATATTGTGGACGTGTATGTTTGTGCTGTGGATGAGTACGTATTGTTGTGTGTGTGTTTGTGTACGTGTGTATTATTTGTGTTGTGTATGAGTGTGTATTGTGGATGTGTGTTGTATGTGTGTCATGTGTGTATTGTATGTGTGTATTGTTTGTGCTGTGTATGAGTGTATATTGTGGATGTGTGTTGTATGTGTGTCATGTGTGTACTGTATGCGTGTATTGTTTGTGCTGTGTATGAGTGCGTATTGTGGATGTGTGTGTTGTGTGTGCGTGTGTGTACTGTATGCGTGTATTGTCTGTGCTGTGTCTGAGTGTGTATTGTGGATGTGTGTTGTGTGTGCATGTGTATACTGTATGTATGTATTGTTTGTGCTGTGTATGAATGTCTATTGTGGATGTGTGTTGTATGTGTGTCATGTGTGTATTGTATGTGTGTATTGTCTGTGCTGTGTATGAGTGTGTATTGTGGATGTGTGTTGTGTGCGCGTGTGTACTGTCTGCGTGTATTGTCTGTGCTGTGTCTGAGTGTGTATTGTGGATGTGTGTTGTGTGTGCGTGTGTGTACTGTATGCGTGTATTGTCTGTGCTGTGTCTGAGTGTGTATTGTGGATGTGTGTGTTGTGTGCGCGTGTGTGTACTGTATGCGTGTATTGCCTGTGCTGTGTCTGAGTGTGTATTGTGGATGTGTGTGTTGTGTGCGCGTGTGTGTACTGTATGCGTGTATCGTCTGTGCTGTGTCTGAGTGTGTATTGTGGATGTGTGTTGTGTGTGCGTGTGTGTACTGTCTGCGTGTATTGTCTGTGCTGTGTCTGATTGTGTATTGTGGATGTGTGTGTTGTGTGTGCGTGTGTGTACTGTATGTGTGTATTGTCTGTGCTGTGTCTGAGTGTGTATTGTGGATGTGTGTTGTATGTGCATGTGTATACTGTATGTATGTATTGTTTGTGCTGTGTATGAGTGTCTATTGTGGATGTGTGTTGTATGTGTGTCATGTGTGTATTGTATGTGTGTATTGTTTGTGCTGTGTCTGAGTGTGTATTGTGGATGTGTGTGTTGTGTGCGCGTGTGTGTACTGTCTGCGTGTATTGTCTGTGCTGTGTCTGAGTGTGTATTGTGGATGTGTGTGTTGTGTGTGTGTGTGTGTACTGTATGCGTCTATTGTCTGTGCTGTGTCTGAGTGTGTATTGTGGATGTGTGTGTTGTATGTGTGTCGTGTGTACTGTATGCGTGTATTGTCTGTGCTGTGTCTGTATTGTGGAGTGTGTGTTGTGTGGCGTGTGTGTACTGTATGCGTGTATTGTCTGTGCTGTGTGAGTGTGTATTGTGGATGTGTGTTGTGTGTGCGTGTGTATACTGTATGCGTGTATTGTCTGTGCTGTGTGAGTGTATATTGTGGATGTGTATTGTGTGTGCGTACTGTATGAGTGTATTGTTTGTGCTGTGTGAGTGTGTATTGTGGATGTGTGTAGTGCGTGTGTACCATGTATTGGTAAGGTTGCTGCTCTAAGGTTTTCTCGACACCACCAGAGCCCGTTTGCCCCCAGCTGATGCTCAACCAGAATGGGCTTTTGACTGGACAGCTCTGCGCCACCTCTTCACTAGCGTCTGTCTGTGAGCTCCTCCAGGAGGAGATGTCGTGTGACCATGAGTTCATGGGAATGAGCTTTTGCCTTAGTACCACACCAGCACACGTAAGCAAACGATGCTGTCCTTTCCCGAGAAGCCACTGCAATGGGCCATGTGGCATCTTACCCTTGGAGCAAGCACCCTTGAGTCTTTGAGAGCCAACTGTACTGTGTATTTAGCACATGGAGTTAAGTCCAGTGGATGAGGTGGGTGGGAGACTGTATCTTTGATCAAAAACAAAGCGGGCATTTTGTCACGTGCCTCCACTCAGGCCCTGAAGGAATTCCGCGGGAATATTTTTGGAGCAGGGACAGCTTTGTTGTTTATTCAATCAGCAAATATTTATGGAGCACTTACTATGTCACCTCTGGTGATCACTCGGGAGGACAAGATCCATTTGGATGTATTCCTTCTGGGGTGGTTGTTGAGAAAAGGCGAAGAGCCTGCCCGCATCATGGTCACACCTCATTACAGCAGATGGCCGTGCACGAGTGCCCTCAAAATACCCGTGAGCAGGTGCAGACCAACTGGGAGACGCTGGGCTCAAAAGACCCCCACAGGCCAGACCTCCGTGCCGGAGACAATCCCCTCTCCAGCCAAAACTCCCTTAATCCTCTGAAAGCGTACTGGCTGCAAACTGCACAGGAGAGCGGAAATCTCAGCAGCATCTCTGGAACCTAGGAGCCTCTTTGCGCTGAGCAGTTGACACTCGAGAGAGGCAAGAGGGAAGGTCCAGCCTGCCAACCTGGCCCTGAAGACGGACCCCAGCCAGCGCGGGCAGTGGTCTCTACGGGACACATCTATCTGGATGATTTGGCCTTGCTCCTGAGTATCGGGTGCCAACCCTGAGTTACACAAACGACTTCTCCAGACAGCTTGGAAAGAAGGAAGAAAGCACTTACGGCATGAGGCAGGCAGGGCTAGAGTCCCCAGGGGGCAGTTAGTAAGACAGTTTGGTTCTGGACAGAACAGACAGAGAAAGAAAGAAAAACAAGGAGGTTGGAAAGTATTTTTAAAAAGAAGAACAGTAAAGGTTTAACCTCAACAAACCCGGCGGCAGCTCCAGGGACAGCCATCAAGAGAAACACAAGGCCCTCAGAAGCGGGGCGTGCACGCCGGGCACACGGCCTGTCCTCCGTGTCAGCCCAGGGCCAGGAGGGACCCTCACCACGGACCAGCAGGGACCTCTCCCTTCCACCCACTGTTCTTCCCTGCACTGCCTTTGGCATTTGACACTTCAAACACCGTTGGTGCATGAAGAGTGGAAGTCACATAACTGTTGTATTTGAAACAGAGCTCATCAAGCAGCCGGTTTGTTTTAGTCACAGTGATCAAGCGACTGCTACTCATACTAAAAATTTCCCCTCACATTTTCCACTTTGACATGAGAGGGAAGAAGAGCATTACATTTCCAGATCATTCTCTTTCTCTTCACACCAGAACTCCTTCTCACAGCTTCTCAGCGTCACTGAATTGGTGTTACGGCTTCAGGAGAAAAAGAGCAGCAAGTAGCTTGTGGGGCGGGAGTGAGAGGAGAAAGGGAGACCTGCTGCTGTGCACATCCCTGGCACAGAGATGTCCACGACACCCCTGCGTCTAGCTGTCCGAGTGGACCTTCAGGGAGAGTCCACAGCAGGCAGCACAGAGCAGGGGGGCAATCAGAATTACTTCTGGTGATTTGGCTGAAAACCCAGAACTCCGACCTCATTTATGCAGTAACAGCAAGGGGAAGGGCTCTGCAATGGGCCTAACATAGTAAGTCAATTCAGATAAGGAATATTCCACTGGAATCCAGAGCAAACAAAATTCCAACAGACAGGAACAAAGAGGCCCTGCCAGTGAGTGCTCCACGCAGGTTCTGCATCCCTGAAGCCATGCTGTGCTCCCTTCCAATTGGCCAGCCATCTCTTTTGGTAGCAAACACACGGAGAGAGAAGAAAATCTAAACAGACCCTCCACAGAGAACCAGAGGGGCGGGATGTGGGGGGTAGCTTTATACTGATAAAACCATTTTCATGCCTTATAGCTGTGATTCAGTCATTAAACCATTTTCTTCATATTATAATAGCTTGCTTGGAGCATTCACTGTTAGTAACTTAAATCGTTTTTTGATTCCTAAAAATTAATTTCTATTTAGTGTCTAATATAAGTGGACACCACACACACAGCCAGTGAATGCTTTGGGACAAAGCCCGAATTTCAGCTGATCCCTCCAGAGCCCGAAGAAGGGGAAGCACTCACAGAAACAGACCCTCCACAGCAGTGAGCCTCTCACCTGAGGGCCCTGGAGGGACAGGGTAACAGAAGCCCACAGGAGACAACATTTGTCACTTGATAACCCTCAACCAGCAGCATCCGTCTTCCCAGAGCATGTAAACGACTTGAACGTGTAGGCCACATACCATCAATATTAGATGGAACCATATGGCCTTGCCAATTCTGTAGGCCACTGGCCATTTCACATGGTTTAACCTATTTCAGATTTAAATTCTATGTTTTGAGTTAAACATTCCCTGAGGGGTGAGACTGGGAACCCGACCACCATTTTGCTCCTGTGGGAAACGTGAGGCAGAAGGTAGATCAGCTGACACAGGGAACACACCTTCCTCCCTCCTCACCCACGAAGCTGGTACTCCTGGGCCATGGCGAGAAAGCAGTGGGGCAGCCCAGGGACCATTTCTCTCCTCGTCCCCCAACCCTCACCAACTGCTGGCGCTGCCCAGCCTGGAGAATGCTCATGGTGTCTAATTCCACTGCTGGGGAGCTTGTCAATCCGGGCTACTGATGGGTCAGGCCTCACCCCCTAGTCTACACGCAGGATCACTCACCCGACAGTGTCTGACGGAGGGCTGGGAAACGTGTCCTTCAGCACCCCGTGAACTGCGAGGCCAGTGTCACCACTGTTTCACCCCCAGCATTATCATCAGTATTGTTTTATTTTGCACATTCTTGAAGTGGAAATAGGAACTGTTTTTTGAAGTGCTGCGATCCTAGCATGTGAATACGCATCAGAACAGAATTCACGGTTGCCCGATTTCTGAATGTGACAGGGGATGTGATAACTGTATAATAATGACGTGATAGTACGTGTGGTCTTACGCAATGTGATAGCATGATGTATAAGGGGGATAATGATAATCATCACATTGTATGAAGGCCATCCATTTGTCTCACCGGGTTTTATTGCTAGGGGGATTCATGGACACAGAGAGGTACGTGATTTGTGAGACATAAGACTACTGTTCTGGACTGAAGCCAATACTGGCATCCAGGTGTTGTGGTTCCTGATGAGAGACACTCTAGTAGCCATGCTGTCAAATCCTCTCCAGCACCTCTCGTGTGATCACATAGAAAGATCTGGAGCATGCAGAAAGCCCTGACATCTCCCATACGTCACACACACACACACACACACATTCACAGGACACAAATTCATACAGAAAGAGGGCAAATTATGACCCCAAGTGAAAAGCTCAGATAAACAGACAAACATCAATCACTTAGACCAGAGAAGAGAACCGGAATCAAACCATGAGCTATTTCTTACAGAAAACTTCATTTTATTGTCCTTTGACTGACTGAGGACAATAAAATAAAGTTTTCTTTAAGAAGTAGCTCAGGGTTTGTGTTTCTGCCTATTCCATTCTCCCGTAAACCCTGTATTTCCCTAACTCACAAGAACCTATTATGGACAAGGATTCTTGAAATCAAATGACCTGGTACAACCCCAGGTTCAAACATGTCTTCCCGACTTTTCAGCGGAAGAGCTGGTAGGGTGAGAGTGTGGAATACTCAGCCTGCCTTACCTCAATGGACCCTGATTCGGCTTTGACTGCTTCTCCCATGTGGCTGTCGCTGTTAAGACTTGGGTGGCCATGAGGGGCCTGCCTCCTCTCCTCCTTTAAGGCATGCTCCAACAGCTTCTTGTTGAGGATCCGGGCTACATTCTCCGTGAGCGTGTAGCCAGGGGGAGCAGATAAGTCCTGCCTCACAGGTGTGCCCTCTCCCCCTTCCTCCCTACATGTCTCTGAGCCAACCCCAATGGGGCTGGGAGATTGTCCCCGGGAACTAGGGCTGGTTTCCTGGCCCAGGCCCAGCTCCGGCCGGGGTTCTGCCGAGCAAGACCGACTCCCGGCCCGCATCCCCTTCTGGAAGGGGTCCTGCACCACAGGGCTGTGGTCGATGATGTTGAAGAGGCTGGAGAGGCCATCATTGATGGCGGTGTGCACAGGACTCTCCCTTGTGGTGGTGGAGCGGGCCCAAGCTGACTCGCTGCACCCCTTCTGGGCCAGCCCTGGGGAGGTCCTATTATTTGGCTGGTCAGCTTTGGGGAGAGGCTTCCTCTGCAGCTTGGGAGACCCGTACTTGGGGGAGCAGCATGTGCGTTCAAACTTGGCCTGCACCTTCTCGATGGCAGGGGCCACCTGCCTGCTCCTAAGGCCGCGGGAAGGAGACGACGCGGGCGTGGCACCACCCCCCGCCTTTGGTGTGAGACACTTGTGGGGGCTGCTGGTGACGGCACTGCCACGCAGGGCTTCAGTCTGCAGGCCAACGCTGATGGTCTGGATGGTCTGTGTCCCCGTGGTCCGGGACCCATTGGTCTGACAGGCCATGTCCCTGACCAGAGGCTCAGTGGGACCAGAGCAGATGGCATTCCTGACGGAGAAGGCCACCTCCTTCATGTCATCACTCATGTTCTTGGACATCTCCAGGCTGTGCAGTGGGGAGGCAAAACCCAGGGGGGTGCAGAGGGTGCTATCGAGGGGGCGGAGCCCTCCCTCCACATAGTCTCGGGGGTGTCTGGAGGAGGCACCAGGCCACCTGCCAAGCATGTGTTCTGAGGAAACCCCCTTTGTGTCTCCCGTGCCCCCTCTGGCTCTGCTTGTGGAAAACGGGCATTCGGGCTCCGGCCGGCCCTGGACCTCGCCACCCGCCACCACAATGCTGTCCATCCTGCGGACCGCGGGCGGGCTGTGCAGCACCCGCACCCCAGAGGGCTCGGCCCGGACGTGGCTCCGCAAGGGCTGCTTCTGGCAGTGCTCTGGGCTGGTCATGGTGTCTGTGGTCATGGTGATGCTTGTGGTGAGGTACCAGGAGGAGTCAGGGATAGGCTCGGCGCCGGCCTCGCTCCCCACCCGCCCTGCCTCGGTCCTATCTGCCCAGGGGTCTAGGGGCCTCTCGTCCCAGCTCTTGCTGTTGAACTCCTCGATGTACTTCAGGTCGTCAGGAGACAGGGGCGGAGTGACATCCTCCTTGCTACTGGCAGCGGGCAGGCCTTTCTCTGGCAGGAAGGGAGAGACGTCCATCAGGCGCTGGAACTCAGACATGGAGGACACAGACACTGCCCTGGAAAGCGAGAGAAAAGACAGCATCAGCTGCCTGTGCATCAGCCAGGGAGCCCACTGATTTGGCCCCTGACCTGGCGCAGCACGTGAGTCCTGCCTGCACAGGAAGCACCTGTTGTCTAATGGTCTCCACCTGAATGGTTAGAACACTTTCCAGCGGCCTGATGTTCTCCACTCCCCAGCTGACCCTGCAGATGTTTGATGGATCTTTATGATGGCTCTGGAATTGTTCCAGGGGCCTTGTAACAGTCAGAACTCAATACAGCCAATCCTCAGATACTGTGGGAGCAAGTGGAAGGTGGGTCTGCAGGGCAGACAGAGCCAAGCTCCACCCACTTTGGAGTGGTTCCAGTTTAGCCCGTGGATGCTGCGCAGGAAGAAGGGAAACTACAGGAATCCTGGCCTCTCCATCTACTGACGAGTGCCTTCAGTTCCAAACCTGCTGGGAGACTCCTGGCTTCCAGGCATTATGGCAGGTGCTCACGCTACAGACATGAACGCACCACAGTCCCGACCCCAAACCAGCCACCGGTACTGGGGAAGCGAGATATGCCAACAAAAGTACCACCACCTCAAGTCTTTCTCACCCTTGGCCTCATCCTCCACTGGCCTAAAATACTAACAACATCCAAAGGCCAAACAAAAGACGTAGAAGAGAGGGAGGGGAAGATGTAAGCAAGTTAGCAAATAATTCCGAAATGCCATTTCAAACAGAAACTCCATCTGGCCCTGCCAAACCCACCACCAGGGCTCAGTGCCCTCGCTCCCTCTCCGCTCCCTCCTTTACAGCTCAGCCTCTTTTTGCTCCTGCTCCTTCTGTACTCCTGGACAAGACGCACAAGCACAACAGGAGAGTGAAAACAGGTGAGCTAAAGCAACAGCCAGTTTAGGGGGAGCTGCTGCCTGATGGGTGTGGATTCGGTGTAGATGCCTGAATACATTAGCACTTGAACTCAACATATTTCGACTTGACATGAATTTACTGATGGCCTCCTGTAGGCCTGGGCAGCACGGTGTGAGGGGCTGGGGATTCCAACATGCTAAGACGGGAAGTTGCTGGAGTGCCTGGGCAGCTTGTCAACGCACCCAGGGCTAAGAAGTGGTGGCCAGGAAGGAGGCTTGGGACCGGCCATGCCTGCCAGCTCAGGTCCTGGACACTCTGGCCTGGAATCTCTCCTGATGGGGTCGTGGAGGTGAAGTGACGCAGACTCACTGTCTACAAGCAGGCTACTTTCTCAGGGGACATATTAATATCCACCCACCCCCCCCAAGTCAGAGGCTTAAATACCTGGGGTTCTAGACCAGCCCAGGCCCTGCCAAAGGGGTCCCAGACCGAGTGCATGGGCCACTCCTCCGCAGGACCCACTAACAATGGCGAGGCCAGAACTGGGTCCTGCTCTGAGCAAGTCTGTTTACCACACAGACTGGCCCATAGAATGAGCAAAGCTCTGGGTGGCCTGGCTGACAAGTGCCCTTACCTTGGGAGCATGTGCTCTGGTGCCCACCACCATGGGGTGGAAGAGCAGGCTACGAATGACGTCGTTAGGCATTTCATCTTGTTATTTCTCACTAGAGGCACATTCAGTGGTATTTTTTTATTAGAAATAATCTACAAACTGCACAACGGCCCTCTGAATAACAGAAAGCTGGATATACCCCGCACTGGAAATAAAAGGAAATAGAAAGGATGGTTGATTTGTCACTGGGTCCTAAGCTTTCCAGCAAGCAGAAGTTTCCTCTTCTGCCTCTGGTCAAGTTGCTGCTGAAATAACAAGGAGCCTCAGAGCACCGTTCACTGGGGGCTGGACGTGCTCTACAGTGTGGAAACCCTGACCCTTTCCACGCTTCCTGGATGCAGCTCATCTAACCCCGTTTCTGCCCACAGGAACTGCTCCCACAGTGCATCAGCAGCTGCACCTGTGTGGGACTATCTGCCTCCAAGGCTTGGACTGGTATCGTGGAACCAGCCAATGTGGACAGAGGAAGGAGCGGCATCAACCTTAGCAGTGGCCAGAGCAGAACAAAACAACAACTACAAAAACCAGGATGCATGTGAACAAGAAGCAAGTACGGAGGGAACACAGGAAAGTGCCAGAAGCAAGAGGGGAAAAGGGTGGAGGGGAGGACACATGTACCTTCTTACTTTGCACACGTTGATATTGTTTAAATTTTACAAGCATGGATTATTTTTGAAATTAACAGAAGCAATCAAGATGAAAAATAATAACTAGCTACAGTGCAGGGAGGAGCTCTGCTAAGAAAGGAGGAAAAGCAGGAGGATATAATGATAGTAAGCTTGGTCCACTGTCATCTGCCAGGCATCGCTTTGTCTTATGTGTATTAACACATCTAAGCTGCAAAAAGATCTAAATACCTGCTGTTTGCAGTTGAGGAAACAGGCACAAAGCAGTTGTATAACTCACCCAGGGTTGCACGGCTAGCGAGAGGCAGACGTGGATCTGAACCCAGACCACTTGGCTCCAGAGCTGAGCTCCCAAGTGCTGCCCTGTGACGTTCCAGAATGACAAGAGGAGACAGAGCTCGAAGGATGGAAATGTGCCACAGGCACTTCCTGGTGTTGGAGGAATCCGATAAAGGCAAAATGGGAAGCACACGTAATTCACGGACTCCAAGCTCACAGGAAAGTCAGGGATGAAGAGATCTGAACACAGCGAATTGCTCTGAGAAGAAACTGTGTGCAGTGGCAATGGTGTGTCCACCTAGAAGGCAGTGTGTGTGCACACGTGGGAGGGGGGTACAGGAAACTGCCATACTTTCTGCTCAGCTGTGTTTTATGTTTAAATTTAAACAAATTTGCTTATATGTACCTTTTCAGACACGTCTCATCATACATATGACCTAAACAATATGATTACTAACATCAACAATATCAATTACTTTATATTTACTTCAAGGATCACTGCCTGGAAATATTTTAATAAATCCTCCTAGCAGAGGTTTTAAATATGTAGTATATGAAATGTCTCGTAGCACATCAAGAGGGAGTTTCTCCAGACTTTAAATGAGAAGACAGGGGTTTCCATGGACTTTTCAAAACCCATTTAACACAATCATTCCTTTCCATACACAGTACACCACTATATCGGCAGAGTTCTTACCATGACACTGACACACACAGCATGTCTCTGGGCTTTTTGTTACCACTAATAAAAAATACAACATTTATAAAATAATAATAAAGCAACCACTTATTCAGAAGACTTATTTTAAGTCATTCTGAAGACAGTGTTAGGACAGACTGCAGACAAGATGGAATTTCAGGACCAAGAGGTTTATAGTTCAGTAGTCTCTATTGTTTTCATCAATCTTACTTACCTTTGAAGATTTCCCTTGGGATTTTCTTCTTCCTAGAAAGAAGAGAGAGGTTTGTCTGAATCAGTTAACTTTGGTTGCCTAGGAGCCCTCAGTGTGCTGAATGATTGTTTTGCTCTCCCGCTCTAGGAAAATACCATTTAAAACAGACAAGGAGGCCAAGTCCTGGCAGGGAGCGCTGCTGCCCGCTGCCCTCGGCCCTCAGCAGGCAGGACGAGACCTGAATCCCCAGTGTGACGCAGGGCTGGAGCTTCTGCCGGCCCAGGAGGAGCACACGTGGGTGAGAAAAACTGGCTGTAAACCCTGTCATGGAGAAAGTGGCTCTTCTGCGCTTCCTCAAAGGACCTCGCTAACTAAATGCATTTCAAAGCCAACTATTGTAAGGACCTGCATACGTCTGAATGCACAGGTGCGTGTGTATGTATGTGTGTGAGAGACACAGAGACACAGAGAAAGAGGTGGGGAGAAGGGAAGATGCGGGTCACAGTCAGGAGGCTGACGTCAGGAGATCTGGTCTGAGCCTCGCTATGGAAGCTGGTATGACATCCTTAGGCTGGAGCGCCTTCTTGGTTTTAAACACCGCCATTTAGAATCAGAGGTGAAATTACAGCGACTTCCCCTTAGGAAGAGGAATGACAGCTGTGCTGGCAGAGAGCAACATGAACACGAGGCTTCTCTGGAGGAAACACCCTCGTGCTGATGTGGCCTCGAAGAAGGGGCAAGGATGCTCGCACGCCTTTGACAGTAACACACTTCATTCCTTGGCATAGTAAATAGCTGGGTGCACTGCCTTTTAGCAAGCGTGGCCCTCGTCTCTGCTGTGCAGACCAGTATGGGGTCTGGGACACTGGAGAACTGGTAAGAGATGGTCTCCCGACCCCAGTCTGCTTTCTCTCTGCTGTGAAAGTGGACCATGAGAGATTGCCAATAGGGCAAACAGGGAGGCACACCGGCACCGTCGTGTCATCTGGGTACATACTGTTGCGGGGAAGGCACTTGACCTCACAGACAGGTCACCGAAGCCAACCTTCCCTACAATTCAACACTATTTGACGTGAACTCTTCTGAGTCTATTTAGTGTCAGCGACAGGTTAAACGACAGGTGCAACCTTCACCTGCTTCACCCACCCCTCGCTCTCTTGAAAGTTTCTAAGAGCTCTCATCACAAGAAAAAGAAGTTATCAGCATGTGTGGTGATGGATGTTAACTAGACTTATGGTGGTGATCACTTCACAATATATACAAATATCGAACCATCGTGTTGTACAGCTGAAGCTAATGTAATGTTATACACACCTCAGTAAAAACAATAAATGACAGGTACAATTGTTAAATTGACTCACAAGTAATGATTCTAAAATCAATTTTTAAAACCCAGTCTTAACAAGGAGAGGAACCTGCCGCTGCGCCATGGACACTCAGCACACACGTGGCTCACCTGCGTGCCGCCCCACTTTACACAAGGCTTCTCAGGGCTGGGTTTCCCCCTTCACACAGAAGAAGATGTTCATAGTATGTCACTGATCTGTAACATCTGCTACTTCCAGAAGTGAGGTACTTTCTTTAAAACAGAATCTTTTCGGTTACTAATAAGTTTTCTACACTCAGAAGACTGTGCTGTCACTTTAAGGAAAGCTGAAGATCTGCACTTCCCACAACGATCTATTTCCTCCTGCGTTTCACGGGACACACTCGTTTGTGAGACGTCTCCTCCAGGACATGAGCCCTGTATCTCCAAACCAGAGAGAAGGCGGCAAAGCAAACTGGACCACAGCACACGCCAGGAGTTTGGGGCCAGGACCACCGAGCACAGCTCCTAGCTTATCAAGGTTTCACTTTTACTCAACCCAGAGGCTGTCCGCTATGTGAAGCCCTGCAGCCTGCCAGGCACACGGCTGATTTCCCAACAACCCCCTGGTCTGTGATAGTGAACTGGACCCAAAACCCAAAACCCAAAAACCCAAGCCAACCTCAGGGAGGCAGTTCTCGAACTCCCTCTGGGGCCCACGGGCCGGAGGCTCCTCGGGCTCGTCGTCCAGGGACAGGGTGTCCAAGTAGAGGTTCTCCCGGGCCGAGCACCTGTCGGATTCTTTCAGCTTGGACAGCGGCCGGTCATCAAATGGGACGGAGTCAGTGTCCGAGCAGGGCCACAGCCCCAGGGGACGGGGCACACGGGGGCTTCCCGGGTGGGCAAAGGGGCGGATGTTGCCTTCTTTCTGATCACAGAGGAAACTGCCACCTCTCCGGGGACTGTTTTCTTTCTGCAACTTGAGGGTTTTAAAAATGAAAACAATTAGCCTCACTTTTTTGTCTGTTTTTCTCCCTAAGACCATGGTTTCTCCACAATTTAGAATTACCTATGGGTCCAGAGAGACTGTTAGAAGTAAATGTTCTTAAAAGTCTGGCCTTAATTTCAAAATGCAACACAACATTACACATGCTTTTTAAAAAAAAATCAGGGGCCTGGCCCCATGGCCGAGCGCTTAAAGCTCTGCGCGCTCCACTTCAGTGACCCAGGTTCTTGGGTTCGGATCCCAGGTGTGGACTCACACCACTCGTCAGCCATGCTGTGGTGGCATCCCACATACAAAGTAGAGGAAGACTGGCACAGATGTTATCTCAAGGCCAACTTTCCTCAAGCAAAAAAAGAGGAAGACTGGCAAATATTGGCTCAGGGCAAATCTTTCTCACCAAAAAAGAAAAAAAATCATGGGCCAGCCCCAGTGGCCTAGTGGTTAAGTTCGGCACACTCCACTTCAGCGGCCCAGGTTCGGTTCCCAGGGGCAGACCTACACCACTCCTCTGTCAGCGGTCATGCTGTGGTGGCAGCTCACAAACAGAGGAAGATTGGCAGCAGACGTTAGCTCAGGGTGAATCTTCCTCAGCAAAAGAAATTTAAATTTTAAAAAATCACAGTTTTATCTGGACTGGAAAATCTGTATGAATCACACCCAAGTCAACTCCTCCTGACAAGAACATATATGTCATTGTATACAACTGCGAGCACTGTGCTCACAGAAATCACACATTTCTTCTTTAAAAATCTAACATTGTTAAATGTCATAGTTAGAACTCTCTTGTAACAACCTTTAGAACGTAAGGCAAACTCAATGGAAAACCATCGTGACGGCAGACTTCTGAGGGTAAATCCGACCTTCCTAACCAGCAGTTTCCTAACAGCAACAGAGTATTATTTCCAAATCATTTGGAATGGGTCCTACACATACCCCAAGTGATCAAGCTGGGTTATAACTACCGGCTGTCAAAAACAACTTATACTTTGCTTGAGAGGATTAAAACTCAGCTATCAAGGTAATTAAAGACCTGGTATGACTGGGGAAAAAAAACCCAAAAAAAATAAGCCACATCATTCAGAGTCACACTTCTTTCTCCTGACTTGGTAAACTCAAGACATGGTGGTGAGGGAAACAGAGGACCACGTGGCGTGAGGAAAACCTGAGCTGCAGCCACTGCTCCGTGCCTGGCTGGTTCGCTCGCAGGTGGGAAGTCCCCTCCTCTTCTCCGCTCAGTGCGCCCATCTGTAAGGTGGGGACAGCACACTCCCTCCCTCCCAGGCTGAGAGGAGGACCAGGGCCGTGCCAAGGTCAGCCCAGCAGGACCAGCCCACAGCAGAGCTCACTGTCGGTCAGTGAGACACCCCCGGCTTGCCTCGGGCCCAGGCGCACGCATCAGCGTCTCGCCTACTCACAGCACTGGAACTCGACCTCACAGGGCCCTGGGGACCACGCAGGGCCCTGGGGGAAGGGGCCAATGGCAACCTCGGGGAGGGCGCACAGGGCGGAGGCACTGGCGCCTCAGGGCAGCCCTAAGGGGCTGCTTTCCCTCGAAACATGCACAGAAAGCACAGCTGAGAGCTGAGGAGATTCCCATCAAAGAATCCTGAATGGGGTCTCTAGGAGATGACATGCTCACACACTCTACCATGTTGCCTGCTCTTCTGAATAAGTAAGTTACCTGAATGACTAAAGTGACATTTGGATTTGACCAGAAGAAGGATTTTCAGTCCTCAAGTGCTGGGACGGTGACAGGAAGTTCCAAAACTCTCTTGGAAGTGTATTAATTTATTTCTCAACAAAGCATCTTTCACAAAAGACACCTTTGTGTCCTAATTTAAGCCTTTATCCACGAGTGGAATATAAGTGTGGCCTATGTATCACCAGGAACAAAGCATGTGAAGTGATGAGGACGAAGGACTTTTACTCATTTTTACCAATTTCTGAGGTGGTGAGACAAAAGTCTCAGAGTATGACCTTCATTTTATGAGAAAGATGGAGAGTCAAGCAGCCAGAGCTTAAATGTCAGCGTTTGATGCAGGATCACAGCTGAATTGGGGAAGCTCAGCGCCCCTCCCCGATGACACAGTTCTTCACAGGTCTCTAGAAGATGCTAAATGCTTTCTTTATTATAAAAAAATAAGAAGGAAAAAGCAAAGCTTTTCATTAGGTTCATCTAATGCATGTCAGCGCAATTTAGTTTCAACGCATGATCATCTCCAAGCTATTTTGGGCAGGGAATTAAAATGCAAGAATCACATGTGAAGCTGTAAATGTGCACTGAGGGTGTGCGTGAAGAGGGGGAGGGAGTGACGAAGAGGGAGCTATGAACAAGCGCGTTCCTACTCAGCAAAGAGGGATTTCAAAAATAAACCCAGGCAGCCAGCAGCAACGTGCACTAAAGCTGGTAAGTGTTAGGTTTCCTAAAAATGAGCTGGAATGGTTTTAGCTGGAGGTATCTGCTGCTAAGATGCCTCTGGAGTGCGGTAACAGAATAACGGGGCCTTAAAAGGACAGTCATTTCAAACCAGGCATCAGCACTTACTGTACTTAGAATCTTGCAGTAGAACAACTTGTAATGCAAATAGAAAACTTAAAAGATTTGCATTTCAAATAATACAGAAAAGAAAACACTCTGAACAGTGTCATCTTATCTGGATTGGTCAAAAGAAAAAAGGCGACTTTGTGAACAGGTTTTGAAAGAATGGCCTGTCGTGTTGTCAAGGCAACTGATTTAAGGAAGTCACTGGAAGGAGAATGGACAGATTTCCTGCAGCCGTTCAGTACAGCAGCAAGCCTCACATCGCTGCATGTCAACTGGGAACTGAGGAGCTCTACGGAGAAACGGACTGTGACTCCATGAAAGTTTACCACCCATCACATCTGGATTAAGACAAGAGATGCTGATAAGAGAGATGATACGTGTTATCTGACCTTAGCCACACTCCCAGTCATTCATCATTTAAAATGCCTCACGAGGCACAAAAATTATGTAGGAATTTAACAACACCTGACAAGTATGAAGCATGTGTCCCGAAAGTGGAAAATGGATTTAGTGTCACTTCTTTCCCCATCTGTGTGTGAGGTTATCACAGTCAAGGCTGCACGGCTCACCAAGCAGTCAAACACCTAGAGCACACACTGTGAAGCAGGTTCACTTGTGTTTCTTGTTTATCTGTGGAATGTGTAGCTAAAAAGTAAGCAAACGGGCAACTCGATAAAGAAGAAACAAACACGTCCATACACACACATACAAGCTTCAACCAGTTCCCTCTCTCACAGGGAATGCCTAAAACCGCTTTACCTAACTTCCAGGATTGGGCACCAAGATCTATAAAATCTTCTTTTAAAATGTCAAATGTTTGGGGGAGAAGGCTGGGTTTATTTTTGAAAGCCATAACTGCCTATCTGGAGCTTCCCTCACTGCAACAAGTCCTCTTCTAAAAACAGCACTGAATCACTGTCCAAAGCCTGTGGGATCCAGGACACAGACTTCAGGGACAGACGAATGCCCGGAACGCACGTGTCTCGAGCCCACTCTGCTCAGAGATGTTAACCCTGAGGCCTGCAGTTCCGAGGCTGGCCCCTGGGTGATCACTGCAGTAACGACGATGTGGAAACGGGGTTCAGCTCCTGCCCACTCTTATCTTTCCAAAATACAGTCTTACTATGAGGCGACTGTTCATCCCTCAGTCACAAACCCTTTGAAAGTTGAGTGTCATCAGATGTCTCACTAATTTTTCCTTTATTAGAAATTGTGCACTCCCAAAAGTGAAATAAAACCCTAAAAGACTTGCTTATGTCCAAGGTGTGACTTTCAAAATGAAGGCATGACAAGACCAAGGAGCCCACAGCTGTGGACTAGCAAAGGGGACTAGTGGGGCAACGGCAGGGTCACAGTAACCTTGCTGGGGTACGGGAGGGACAGACAAAGTGAGTGATCCTGGAGGGCAGGCCGAGAGGGAAGCTCTCTGGTGACCAGGGGTCTGGAGTTACTGTGGTTAACTCAGGTCGGACGTGATAAACCTGTGAGTGTTTCATAAGAGCACACGTTACCTCAGCCCCAACAAACCCCACCTCAGGGCTGATCCATGTGAGGGCACGTGGGGCACTGGGAGTTAACCCGGAACATTCTTCTCAGGGGCTGCACTTCTAGACCAAACAGGAAGTGGGCAACTTTCCTTTGATAGAATTTGGGGAATTCTGAAATGAGCCACATCAAATATCAACACAGTGACTCCGTCATGTGAGTAATCAAACCTGGGAAGAACCTGAGCTCCCTTCCATCCACAGCGCACTCTCTTCTTCCCAGCATCGTCTGAGCCAAAGGCCCCTGGTCTTTTTCAGTTCATTCTCCTCCCTCCCTCCCCAATAGTGCGCAGAAACTAACCTTTGCACCGTGCCCGCGTAACACAAGTGCCACGGCTGGGGATAAGAGAGCACATTTTCCAAAAGGCTCCCACATAAATGTAGGCAGTGTGGGCATTTATAATAGAGCACTGAGGTTATCTGTCCTGAACTCAGGTTCTTATTGATTAATACATGTCCTTGAGGCCTCATGAATTTGTAAGTGTGACAGGCTGAAATAAATACAACATACGCTACGTAAAAATCCAGCTAGGGAGGAATTCCAAACCTTCATCAATTTAATGGGAAAATTTAATTTCCACCAGGCACAACCCCAACTATGCAGACTGTCCTAAGTCTGACGCAATGGAGAGAAGATTATCTGGGCAGTAGAAAAACAACTCCCCCTCTTCTCCTGAATTCATATGAGGTCTTGAATTGTTTGTTTAGCTGAAGACAACGAGCAACCAGCTACCTCCCCCGACTAGGGTCCTATCTAATTACACCTTAGCAATACCCACAGCAGGTGCACGCAGCCTGACTTCCAACTTAATTCAGCAATTTCTTACTAATGGATAACAATTCCATTCAAGCTGGAGAAGTCACTGAGACCACATCTTTAGTGGCAAACTTAAAAGTTAGTTTGCTTTTTGGCAGAAATCACTTTACAAGACTTGAAATAACTTCATCTTTCAAGGTTAGTCTTTAAATTCCTTTAAAAAGTTACCCCCCACTCCCGGCCACACACACACGACACATATACACAGCCAGGGAAGTTACCCACAAACTTCGCAATGGACAGACCTGTATAGTGGAAGGGCTGAGCCCAGGTCTCCAACTCTAGAAATCCCAGTATTTCTTCCTCCTCCTCTGAAGCCCGTGAAACATCCTGACGCAGCAAGGAGCCCTGAGCAGCCTCATTTTCTCCATGGAGCTGCTCTGACTCCAGGGCAATGAGCTGTCCCGGCGGCCGGGCGCTTCCTCACCTGCTCTATCCTCCACAAGAGCTCCTTCTTGTGCTGCTCCCACTCCTGCCGGTCTCTGTCGAGGCGGTCGAGGAGCTCCACCTTCTCCCGGTGCCAGTTCTTCTCACTGTGGTGGATCTGCCAGCGCAGGTCCATAACCAGGCCATGGCTGTCGGCAAGCAGCTTCTGATGTATCTCCCTCTCCTTCTTGAAGGCTCCTTTGCTGTCAACAGAGGGGCCTGATTCTCCCAGGTTTTTCTCAGTCTTCTCTTCCAGCTGTCAGGAAAAAAAACCTTAGAACTCAGTCCCTTACAAGTCTTGCATTGGTAGGTGAGGAAAATCTCAGCACACTTACATGTTTTCCCTGGAAACACGTTTTAAATCAAGATTTGACCAACCCCACGGGAGAAACAATTTTCATTTTTAAAGTCCTAATGATGAACATTTGGCACAGAGAGTGACACAGAAGGTAAAGGTGCCCACAGCCTGCTTCTCACTCCATTTCCTTACTCTGAGTCACCACCATCTCCTGCTGTCCTGTGGAGCTCCTCGAGGGCAGCACAGCTCTGTCCCTCTATCCTGAGCCCCTGTATGGAACCTAGTGACCGGGCAGTGAGAGAACCTAGACGTCTACAATCAATATTTGTCAAACACTCAGGAGGTTAAACACTAAAAACAAACAAACAAGCAAAAAACCTCCTATCCAGACATATATTCAAACTGCTAAGAGAAAACCTCTGAGGCAGATGGAAAAAAGACACATTACACACAGAGGCACACAGATGAGAGTGACAGCAGACTGCCCCTCAGAAACCACGCAAGTCAGCAGACAATGGAGGGCCATCTTTAAAGGGCTGAAGGGGAAAAATGTCAACTGTGATAGAATTCTATACTCAGCAACAATAACTTTCAAAAATGAAGGAAAAATCCTTTTTCAACAAGTGAAAATAGAATAAAACCATTGCCAGCAGACCTGCGTTTCAAGAAATAACAGAGGAAGTTCTCAAGCCGATAGAATATGATACCAACAGACATTGTGATCTATATCAGAAATGAGGAACACTGGAAACGGCATAAATAGATGCACATTTAAACTCACTTTTCTCTATTTTTAATTGCTTTAAAGCATCACTGAGTGTCTAAAGCAAAAATAGCTGCAATGATTGTGTGTTTACAGAACATATAGAAGTAAACCGTGCGATAACAACAGCACAGAGGACAGAATCAGGAGTATAAGTGGTTGGAGAAGGTGACAATCTTTAATGCAAGCTTAGAGGACATAAAGATGTATCTTTTTCCTATGCTAGTCCAGCAGGCCCCTGAATTCTACCCAAGGACCTATGTTCAACCACTGAATTCCAATGGTTTCTGATCTATTCTCTACCTTGAAGCTGGAAGAACCTTTTTAAAACGCAAATCAAAATGCTTTACTTCCGTGATAAAATCAGGATTAACATTTCAACTCCTTAACACTCTTCTTTTCCCTCATCCCCGACTAGGTGCAGCTCCTCAGAGGTGCTTGTTCCTTTCTTCTTGATGCTCCCTCTCTGTCTGAAACACCCTTCTCCCTTTCCCCATGTCCCCACTCCTGGTCATCCTCTGAGATTCATTCCAAGCAGGACTTTCACTACCAAGCTGCCCTGAGCCCTGACGCCGGCTTGTGCTCTGCACACCCCCACTCCCCACGGGGCTGTGTGAAAGCTGCAGCACACTTAACACCCAATTAGAAATTAGAACCCTTGTCTGGGTCTCCCACTGCACTGAGAGCCCCTTCAAGAAATACCTTATTTGCTGCTGGATCCCTGGCATTTAGAGCAAGGTCTGACTTAGGAGTCAGTTAAAGGAATCATAGATTTGGAAACTGACACAACATGGCCTCCACTGAATGAAAATACTTAACTTTTGGTAGAATTCAACTGTCTTGCATTTAAGTAGAAGAGGGTAAAGATGGGACTATTATAAATGGACTAGCATCAGCCCACATTCCTTGCTCCCTGAGCTGCGAATGTTTAAGAAACTTCTTAAACGGGTAGGACAAAATAATGAATCTTTACCTATTACGACCTGGCTCCTAGGCCTGAAGTCCTAGCTGTATTTCTCTGTGCTTACTGACGCTCCCTGAGGCTTTATTTGTAGCACATGTGTGGGTGGATACCAGGTTCCTCTAAAACAAAGACGAAATATTTTGAAACTGGCTTACATTGAAGATTGTCTCCTTTCTTTAGCTACGCTTACACCTTTGAAAATATTTTGCTTTCTCCCCAATAAACATATTTTTAAGTAGGTTTAAAGGCAGCTCATCACAAAGTCTCCTTACTCATTTCTCCTCCACTGCTGACTCTTCAGGCCGCGCACAAACGTAAAGAGAGCGTCTAGTAAGACTCTCCCCCAGGCCGCAGGCGGGATTCATAACTGGGTCAGCGGCTCTGTCATTTGACGGGCCTGGCCTGGTACTTTGGTTTTGCTACACTTTGCTTCTTCCTCTGCAGAGAAGGCCGTGTCTCGATTCTTCCCAGGGCTGTGAGCTTGACACCACCGCTCCCTTGGGCCAGGCCGCAATGCGAGTGAACTTGTAGGTACCAGGGGAGCTGTTTACTTTTGACGTGACAGGCCCTTTCATCTTTTATCAAGGCCATTTGGAAGATGTCTCCTTTCTGGGCAATTTTTTTGTTCATGACTGAGCCAATTCATAAAAAATTTTAATTACTTTATGGTTTGCCTCAAAACAGGGCCTAGAAAACAGATTACCAAAGATGCATGGACCTCTCCTCCCTCATTGTGATCCAGGGGCTAGAAGGAACCTGGGGAAGCAATCCGAGCAAACAGACACGGGTGCGAAGGGGACACTGCGTTTGAGGCTTTCCGGGGAGTAAACACTCAGAAAAGACTGTTTCTGGCTGTCTGATCCCGACAACCGTGGCTATGGTCTAAAACCTCTGAGGAGGCTCCGCTCAGTCGGGAGGGTGGAGGCAGGAGCACACTGTCGTCTCCCCCAGAGCACTGACCACTGGGATCTGAGACCAGCCCCTTCCTCTGGGCCTCCCCCCTGTCCTTCAGTATAAAAAGGATACTCAAGCCGATCAGCCTTCTAGGGCCTGTGGTGAAAGGTCCACCGGCTTTTCCAGGATTCTGAGAAGCCTAAAGGAGAGCACGTGCTTGCCTTGCTCAGAGATACTACACCACAGGCTGCTGCTTCTCTGCCCCTGTCTGAAGTGTGTCAGCGCACTCTGACCACCACTTCATGAGGCCGTGCTTCAATCAGGCTAAACACAACCTCGCTCCATGTAGAACGGGAAATACACGCTACTTTAAGATGCTGCTCCTCGGGGACCATGTGTCATACTTGGGAGAGGGAATATCAGGGAAAAGAAGCCGCCTGAGGAAGGCTGGGAACTTCAGGATGAGACAGCAGGCAGTTGCTCCTGCTTTCTCCCCAGAGCCCTTGCTCTCAGATGAGGGTCACTGTGAATCTGAGTAACCCGCCTCCTCCACACCTGTCCTGGACCACAGAGACCCATGGGCAGTAGGGAGGGACCTGGCGGGCAGGTACCTGCTCCAGGCGGCACTTGAGCATGGCCCACTCCACGTCCCAGGCAGCTTTGTCGCTGGCGTATTGCTGCTGCAGCCGCAGCCGGGCATGCTCGTCCTCCCGCAGCTCCGAGCGCAAGTCCTCCAGCAAGCTCTTGAGTGCACCGAACAGCTGCTGGTTTTCCACCACCTGTGGGAACACGGGAGTTGGCTCTGCGCCCTCGTGTACAGGTGCTCTTTAGCTCAGAGGAGGAGCCTGGCAATCCAACAGGGGCTGGGCTGTTTGCAAGCCACCACTGCAATGGACACCAAGCAGTGGGAAGCCACACAGTCGGCAGGAGAGAGCCAGAGGGACCCCACACCTGCCACCAGGCTCCTGGAGCTGGACTGCTACGGGCTCGCTGCATTAGAGGGAGGCCAGAACTCAGGCTGGCGCTATGGGAACCTGGAAAAGAGGTGCTCTGGCCGGACGAGCAGGAGGGGGGAAACTGCGGGAGGCCACAGCGAGTCCTGGAGGCCAGGGCTGCCAGGACACTCTGTGTGACTTCAAGCTCTGCTTGGGGGTGCAGAAATGATAAGATATAGACACTCACCTACATATGCTGTCATTTCAGTGCCAGTTGTTGAGCCAGAAGGGAATTAATAAAGGCCTCATATCTCTTACAAACATAGGGTGGTCATGCTCTCATCTATAGTTACTAAGAGGTCATATACATGACAAGCATGGCCATGGCGGGGAGCAATGGGATTTTCGAGGTTTCATAATTTAAAGCCAAAGGTAAAATGCTTAATCCCTTCATAGAAAACTTCCTCATGGTCCCCCGAGATAGAATCACTGCCCTCGCCTTCCACTTCACTAATCACACAAATAACCACGCCTTCTTATTTATCTCGTGCCCCCCACCACTGGAAGTGCCCAGAGAGGCAAAGCCCACAATTGTGGGTCAGCCCACAATCCCAGTGTTTCACACAACGCTCAGCTCACAGGAAGCATGCAAACAGGTCTGATAAATGAAGAATGGATTTTTCTTACTAATCTGTTACACCTAATGTAAAAGATTTTATACTTTCTAAAACTTGTCCAGCCCTTTGAAGGCACATTTCAAAACCATGATTGCTATCTTAGTACGTTTCAGCATGGGCATTACATCAGAAAGGTTTGTCCAAATGAATTAAACACACTGAATCAATTATGCTACCTGGATAATAAAAGCCACATGAGCCCCTCTCCTCCAGTCAGCCAGCAAACGCTTCAAGTGCAGCACGAGCGCTCTGCCCGGTCTCGGCGCAACCTTGTGTGGTGGATTTATGAGGCAGGAGGAACCAAAGCTCTCAGTCCTGCTGGACGCAGACTGTCACCACCATGGGAAGACAGAGCCCTCCCTCTCAGATGGAAGCCCCCGCTGGGTACGGCTCTCCTGCCAGGGGTGGCAGGGAGCACGCTCCAGGCTCCCCAGCTCAGGATCCACACTCACATCAGCCTTCTCTCCTCCATCAGAGGAGAGTCAGTCGTGCTTCTTAAACCACCCAGTTAATCCAGGAAATACACACACATACATATGCAAAGCTGGTTAACCATACTCAGGAAGAATTTAAGATATTTTGAATACATGTTTCAATTTAAATAAAGTTGAACTAGAAAAGGAAAAGGAAACTCCTTAACATAAGCATAATTATTACTGTAAATGCCATAGTTTTTCCTCCTAATTTATCCGAAGGGTTATAACATTAGATACAGTAGACTTTCAATCGAGTAGAAAGGCCTATTTATTAGCATTTATTGCTCCTTGATTTTTCTCACCATCAACACCAACTTTAACAACTCTGAGACAAAAGGCATTAAGAATATGATTCAGTTAACATTTGCAAAACTCAGCAAACAGAGATCCCTTCTAGAAATCCCATTCTTTCCAACCATCTGAATATAAATAAATTACCAACGTACTGAAAGAGATGCTCATGAAATGTGTGAAACTGTAATGCAGAACAGTTTCTTCAAACTCGACACCAAAGGTATTTTAAAAAAATATAAGTGCAGGTGAGTGAGAAGAGGGGTTGCAACAATCTTTTCAGAAATACATATCTTCGTAAGTAGAGAATCTGCTGAAAAATTATGGATATTTTATGGTAGATTTATTTGGTATTTTCATCTTTGGATTTTAAATTTAAAAAATCACTACTTTTTGAGCTACAGTATTTTAAGCATAAAATAACAGTAATAATTTTGATCCAGTCTTTGGAGTAGTCATTTAATTTTCACTGAAGAAAAAGCAGAAAACCATATAATTAATTCTGGTACATAATTAATAGCTCCCTATGAGCCCTGAGTCACATATGTGAGCAGCCTGTGGGTTCTTAGCCCTATACCAAACAGATCTGATAACATTAGGACCAGAACTCTATGCTCCTTGAAAGCAGGGGTTCACATGACAGTCCTTTTGCAGATGAAAATTTGGTTCCTTCAGAAGTAAGTACTTTGGGGCATTAGCAGATATCAGATTAAATAAACTTAAGCCTTAATGTTTTCATGCACATTTGGGTCAGAGTATTCAAGATGATGTCTTATTATACCAGTCTAATATTAATCATCATGGAATGAGCTCAAACATTGCTTTGGGGTGAAGGTGGCTCCAGGGAGCAGGAGAGCCGGGAGAATCAACGCGTTGATACTTGTTACTTGTACTTGTTACTATACCTGCCCGGGAGCAGCAGGTGCGAGGAGGCAAGCGGCCAGCCTAGCTCTCCGCCACTACACCAGCAAGAATCCACATCGGAGGCAACATTCCTGAAGATCCAGACTGAGCCATAGATGGGCACGGGATTCTTTTTAAACAACTTTTTCACATACAAAAATCATACTATTAATTGTTTCCAATGGGCCAGGAGGTGTGCCAAATCATTCACTTACATGATTTTACTTGCATTTCACATCAATCCTGGGTGCATACCGTCACGTTCCCAGTGTTACAGAGGAGGAATGAGAGCACGGAGCAGCTGAGGTCTTACTGCTAGAAGCGCAGAGCCCGGACCACAATCCAGGTCTGTCCAAAGCTGGACAAACCGAGCCAGGGTATCTGAATTCTCACATTATACCCTGTGCAGGCCTTTATTTTTTTAAACCTTGCCCTAGAGAAACCATCTAATCTCTGTGAAACAATTCCATCCCCCATACAGCAAGGGAAATAACAGTCAGCCATCGGTAAAGAACGCCTGAAAGTTACTTCTCTCACTTTTTCTCCTCGGGGTGCCCTTGCACTGTGTTTTGGGTAAAAAGATGACCCAAATCAAGAATGGAATCAAGATTCTGGTCCATTTGGAGGTCTTCAAGTGAAAGTCTTTCTGGATACAGAGCTCTCTAAACCTTTTGTGCCAGTGGCCTAGCTATGTAACCTTTTAGCTTATACATAATTTGTTAAGTATAGGTCAATCTTAATTAAAAACAACTTTTCAATCTCTTCAGGATCAGCTGGTTGGTTTTCTCCCAAAGAAGCAGGATAAAATGGCTCTACTATTTCCTTCTCCTCGGTCTAAGGGTATTTCATCCCTTCCAAACTCATCTCTCTTGGCTAAGGCTTAAATAACCCAAAACTGGGATCAGGAACTTGATGGTACCATCAAGTATTACACTTTATAACAGGTTCGAGTTGGGCTTCCGCCGATGGGACTGCTATCCAAATATATAATAAATACTATTACTAGAAAGTGAAAAACAAGTTCATGGGAAAGGTAGCTTATCCAGATATTTGTACAATGCCAGCTATTTTACAAAATCATTCTTGCCTGAGAAGATTTTAAGACACGTGCTTCAAAACTCTGTAAAAGAGCTAAACTACCATCAATGACTTTGCTTATATCAGAGTCATTGACTTTGGAGATGGGTTTAAGCTCAGTTTGGAAGACAGATACTGACCTGCTGCTAACGGCTGACCCACAAAAAGCCAGTCACAAAGTAGAGGTGATGGCCTCCACCTCCTATTCATTTAGGCCATTAGACATGGGCAGGGAGTTCTAGAACGCTGTGGTAGCTGCCCTCATCCCCAACAAACACAGGCACAGCTCCTATTTGATACATTTACAGAGGGGGAGCTCAGGCAGGGCTCAGTAACAGTAACTCCTCTACCAGCAGGAATCTCAAAACAAGTCCTTTACTGTGAGATCAGCCAGAAAGGATACATTTGCACATCCAGCAACATTTTAATAAATAAGCCATTCGTCATTTTTACCTTCATTGTTACATTCAGATTAATTTTAAGATTCTTTTCTGAAACCATTATTCCTCCCCAACAGATAAAAGAGAATGAGTCATGGAAGACTGGCTGTGAAAATATAATCTCTGATTGAAGTTTACAGAGATGATGGATTCGTTTATGGACAGAAATCATTTGTCCTCTGGCTGAGAATATGCCAGGTGACCCGGGCCATGAGGGCTCTGTGCCTGCAGGTCACCATAATTTTCAGTGACAGATTCCCAAGGATAAATGAGGGTATATGAAAGAACTAATGGGAATACACTGAATAAGTTATAAACCCAGAGTTATCGGCCAAAGGCTTCAAAGAAACCAGGACAGGTCTGTGTAAATCAAGTGGCTAGATGGAAAGAAACCACTTGTCAGCGAAGTTTACAGCTTGTCCCACACTTTAAAAGTATGCTGCCAACTGCCAACCACAGTTAACTGGGAGAGGTGGGACTGGGGCAGAGCATGTCCTTTCCTTAAGTACTCGTGACCTTTCACCTCCTGCACGTGCTATTTCACAGTAACAGAAACAAACAAAAATATGCAGCAAAAATAACATGTTTCCTAATCATAAGCTCTGGTCTGGTTCTTTTTACACAGAGCTGCATGTCTCCTAGGTGAGGTGATAAGTTGCATAGTCTGAAGAATAAACCATGGTACAACATACAAAATTGAAATGTAGGCTTCAGAGGAGATCTTCCTTAGTTAGGAAAAAAAAAGTCAAGGCAGATCACAGTTCTGATATGCACACTTCATCTGACAGAGGCGCTCTTTCCAGAAGTTTCTGCATCTTGGCCAAAGCAGAAAGGTGGGCAGCCAGAAAGTGGGCTTTTGGGCACCAGGAGGCCCAGGGAGCCAAAGGCACTCTGTCTACAGGAGAAAGGCTGACCTCTACTTAAGAGTGGCCCTTGAAGGCCCCACACTTCGGATGAGTCCTGGATGAGTGACAAAGGTCCAGGGAAGCAGATTTTACTCGGTCCTAAGGCTGTATCCTGAGTGGGATTCTTCAGTGACCAGCAGCAGTTGAAGACTTGAAGACTAATATGAAACATAATTTCATTAGATCTTGTTCTGAATTTTACATTAGGTTCTTTATATTTACACTTAGATGCTTTAATAAAGTATTATGTCACATCCCTGAATGAAAAAATAACTTCTCTTTTAATACATTAATACAGTTCTGGGAAGATTAGCTGTTGGAACCACAGGGTTATAATTCTGGCACTATTAATCACCTGTGTGAACACCTTATGTTAAACCTTGTGTTAAAACTCCACAGCCTTAGGAGTCTGTTCCAAAGTTTAACGAAGTGGCAAGTGCCACGTTGCCCAGTGAGAACCATACAACATGTCCTTGCCTATTTCCAGCCTCTGCTCTTCCAGAAGGCCAGGCAAAGTGAAAGTGCTCACTGTTCTCTAGGGCAATCAGGTCGCTGCCTCTGGATCCTGGAACTAAAGATCACTCAGCAGGGAACATTTGCAGAACCAAATATTTTCCAACCTGATGACTTTTTATGAACTATTTCTAAGGTTGACTCGATACATCTAAGCGTGTTTTTCTTTTTAACCCCTTTGGACATGATAAATGTTGCCATTTACTGTGTTCAACTGTGAGAATGTTCACTATGACACAAAGCAAGGACCAAGGCCTGGGAAGTTTTGTTACTCACGAACTCACCCTTGGGAAAGAAGCTAGGCCACGTTTCCCATTGTGCTTATCACCCCGGGGGCTCTCAGAGCTGCTGAAAAGGGTGCGGCCTGGACGGAAGCTCTCTAAGACACGCGTTCTTGTTCTTGCATCCAGGCTGCCTAGCTGATACCTACTCCACCACGCAGGCAAACCTTCCAACTGAGAACATTCACTCCCAGGGACCCAGCTGCCGCTTACAGTGGAGCTCATTAATCTTCTGCCCTTGGATGGACAGCACTGTGCACTTAACTACCGTGGACAGACGGGTCCACTGAAGGCAGACCTGACTCTGCCTGTCTGGGCCAGACCCTGTTAGCCCACCCACATGCCTCTACCACACACTGTATGAAGCAGGAACTCACAGGTCCATCTCCTTTTTCAAGAGGAATAGCTAAAAAATTAGTGTTGGAAGGAGGAGGAAGCAAAGAGAGAATGACATTAAAATACACTGAATGTGAGGTTCCAGCTGAGTAACTGGACGCTATTTTCCACCTCAAGGGTAAAATTTTCCATGACTATTGTTTGGAAAACCAGATGTGTTGCATTTTTTGGCTTTTCCAAAGCATCTGGATGCACTCGTGGGAAACTCCCAACACATGATTTGAGATGCAGCAGGTTGATTGCTAAGTGGCAGTCAAGGAATGCTATTCGAGTTAATCACAGAAACTTGACAGGACTGACTGACAACACAGCTTTTAAAAATAATAAAACTGGTAGATTTTAAAGGATTATTCGCAACGTAGCATTTTATTTTCTATCTAGATCATTGCTGGAAAACTCATTCCATGAGCTAAAATCTCCCCATGGACACCAGCAGAAGGACAAACTTCCTAATCACTGTGATTAAAAGTTCCTTTGAAAGTATAACCTCTTTCTTGAGTCATATTATTCAGGAAAAATGAAGGGTGGATGGGTGTGCATAGAAAACGGCTGTTTAGTTGTGAAAACCTGATTTGTATATGCAGAGAAAGCAGTGGGGGCAAACCCACATTTCTCCAGGCCCAAGCTTGGACATTACCACTTCTCCCTCTGTGGATGTGAGCCAAAGTTCAGAGGACAGTCCTTTCCCACTTGACGCTCTGAGGCTCCGGGCTGAGGGAGGAGCCACAGCTGTGGAGGCCAGTGTAGAGGCAGTGCCCAAAAATGCTTGTGGTTGAGCGGCTGCAGCCGCGCCCGGTGACTGCTGCACCGAGGGTCCACCCAGCACTGCCCTCACCCGAGCCAGTGGGCCAGGGCTTGGGGCCTCAGGCTCTGCCCTGTGGAACCCACAAAGAAGCAACATGGGGTCAGGAGGGACTCAGACCAGGAAGTGTGGGAGCAGGAAAGCTTTAACACCGGGTGCCCCCCAGGGGCTCAACACTCCAGACCCACCAGAGCTGCTGTTTTGTAGAAAAGTGCAAAAACTCTAGGTGGCATCAACAGTATCTTCTGTTTATTAAACAGGGTCTATCTGCTTAATAATGAATAAATGTGGCATCTGGCAACACTAATAATTAACATTATACACTGAAATCCCACCTCTCTTTACACATGCTTTAATTTTTTTTAAGTGTCATCAAATATCTTTATTTGGGGCATTATGTTTCAAATGGCCCAAAAAGAACCTGAAACATTTTATACATGTTTGGGGATTTTTTAAAAAAAGACTTGTTCTTTCCTCCTTATGCATTATGTTGCCACATCAGTGGTGTTGCTGACACCCATTCGGCTAAGCCTCAATAAAAGCCTGGTACGTTCTTTCCTGGCTGTGATGAGAGCGCGACATCCCACACTCGCCTACTTGGAAGGACAGGCAGAGCCTAAGGCCACAGACCACTCTGTAGAACACTTTTTTCTGCTCCTTCTGAGGCACATTTGCTGGCCTTGAGGGGATACAATTCATCTAATTTTACTATGATCCCTATTTATATGTGTAAACTAATGAATTTATGGGCTGACATTACAATGAAAGGCTTAATGACGTGATTTCTAGCAAAAATAGGGCATCAGGCCACCTCAGGCAGCCAGAGGAGTTTTCTGCTCCTTGGAACACCGCATGTGAAATAAGATGACCCAGACACAGATTAGGAGCCTCCTCCCCTGGGTGTGGGTAGGACGAGGGACTGGGACCTCGGCACCCACCTGCCTGTGGAGCTGTCCGCCATCTGCAGGCTGCAGCCGTGGTCCACGCTCACCCATCTGCACGGCGGAGCGTGGGGAATGCTCCCCCAGGGCAAAGCCGCAGCCTGGGCTGTCGTCTTCGCGGTCTGGGCCGTCCCCTTTTGCATCCCCCTGGACTCCAAGCTCACCGAGCCTGGGGAGAGTCTCTGGATGCTCAGTCTGAAAAGCAGGAGACAATGATCACAGCTCCACCTGCATCTTTTTGCTGTGTAGCCTGATTTTTACTATTGGAGGATAATTATCTACTTTGTGGGTTATCAACTCCACTTTTCAGCCCTTTTCCCTAATGCGCTCACATTGGCCATTTCACTCATTGGCCACTTTCTCCATTTAAATAGCACAGAGTGGGTGCCCAACTTATTAGAAAAGATTAGAGATTTTACTATTTATAAATATTCTAATAATGAAAAATTTTACTTTTATAAATTATTATTGCTTACAGTTATGGTGTTATAATTTATAGGAGGAGGAACTCCAAAGTATTGATCAGTGGAAACTTTACAACTATTTCTATGTTTTACTTAATGAGAGTTTTCTATGTCATGGATATTTGGAAGCAGGTTGGATTAATTTTTGAAGACTTTCTTCACCCTGAAGAAAGAGAATCACCCTATATTCCCATTCACAGGATGACTTAAAATTATATACAATGTTCACTAGAATGAAAAGCAGACAAAAGGTCTTTGAGAGCTAAAAGGAAACCAACATTCACAATGCCTTAAAGCAGCTGACAAAGTGGTCAGCAGTGTGGACATCCAGAACACAGCAAACACAGTGGTTTCAGCCCTGTGCTCACTAGCAAGCATGCCAGGAAGGAGCCTGCAGAGCTGGAGATCACAGACTTACTCAATTAAACTCAATCAGAAAGCAAACAATGCTATTCTGGTTCTGTCATGAAGCTGGGAGCTGAGGCATACGAAGGAGACATACACAAATTTCAGAGGTGGCAAAAAAGCGACCCCTCTGGAACTCAGAAGAGACCTTTATAAAACTGCATTGGGCAGAATGGGCTCTAGTATTTGGGAACAAACACTGAAATGGAAAGAAAACAAAGATTTAGAAGCAGGTTTTACAAACCAGCAAGGTAGAACGAGACAGTAAAGGACCTCAGGGTAATAAGATTAACGAATTCATAAATCAGCAACAAAAGGGACGGCCGCAAAACTCTGCTGCAGAATGGAGCTACAGACCAGTATACTCTCAAAACAAAACCAGGTCAAAGGACAGCACTGAATTCTTGGTCTAATATATAACTGAAAAACCCACTGCATTTCCATTGCCTGGATTGGACTCGACATCATAATCTGAAATAATAGGACATGACTTTTTGTGTAGCGGGAGGGGGACAGCAATGTCTGGGGCTCAAGAACGAAACCGACACAAATAAATGAACTCTCCAGGGTGACGTACCTCAGTGAAATCTTCCCCTTCCTCCTCCATCTGTTTCCCTTGCCGCCAGTGTTTCAGCAACCACCTGAGTTTGACGTAGAAAAGGAAAATGTTCTGCTTCAAGGACCGGAGCTCCTGCTGCATCAGATTCCTCTCATCACTCCACGTCCGCTCATGGAGGGTGTTTTGCAAAGCCAGGCTGTGCATTTCCAGTTCTTTCCACCTCAAGGCATAGAGGTGCTCCTCCTCCATCTTGGATGGAAGAAAAGAGAGAGTGTGACAAGCAGCTACCCCAATTTGCCACCCAAACCAAACCAAGAGTCTTTGCAAACTTCCATTCAATCTCTATCATTTTGCATATGGGAGGTGAAACACAGAAGCCCCCAAAAGTTTAGTAACCTCCTTGAGATGTCTACTATTTATGAAACTTCATGAGTCTTCTGATTCAGAAAGCAAGCGCTATTTCAAGATAAGATATTATAACCATTTTTCTTGTCAAGATTCTTGTGGTGTTTTTAGATATCGCTAAAGTCCTTCAGGAAAATCATTTCTTGGATGCACGGCTTATAGCTGACTTAAATGCAGATTCCACCCGCCCTCCGCATGTGGGCTTGCACACAAAGGCACACTGAAATTCATAAGAGGGAGTAAGTGGAAATCCTTCCCCTTGGCTTCCCGGTGCCCACAGCCCCCACAGAAAGAGAACACCAAGCCGACAGAGAGGCCCACAGAGAGCAGGCCGCTGAGTGATGGGGCCAGCAGGAACTCCTTCCAAACGCGCAGTACTGTGCACGGTGGTGAGTCAATGGGAAAGTGAGTTGATCACCCACTTCCACGTTCAAGACTTCACCTTCCCATTAGATAAGGACAGCCCTTAGGGAATAAAAGAATTGCTAAAAAAGAAATATTCTCCACCTCTCTGCTAAGGAGATGTTCTCCACCTCTGTGAAGGTCCTGCCTTTCCAGCACAGGTATAGGCACTCTTTCAAGCAATACACAATTACTATGTGTCAATAATGACTAAGCAAAAGGGTGTGAATAAATGTACAGATAAGGGCACAAGGATAATATGTGTAGTAGCTAACGTGATCTATCAGATGACAGCTTTCTGTTCCAGAGACCAAGGAAAGGGTTAGAATCCAGCCTTATCGTTATCAGCTGTCTTCTCCTACCTTAACACTCCCTCTTGTGCCAAAAACCAAGGCAGTAGGTCTTGCTTTGTTTTTTTCTAAAGCTCTAGATTAATGTTCAGAAACCATGCAGATATGACTATGGCTGTCTGAGGCTGACACCAATATGACCCAAGTGCTAAAGACTAGTGAAGGGTGAGAGGCAGCTCTGGAAGGTCCCAGGTCTGCATGGCCACTGTTGTAATACCCAATCTTTCTGCACTTCAAAACTGAAATAACATAAAATTCTGGCATTTAATTCACCATCTCGGCAGCCCGCAGAGCCCCACTACTGGTTCTCTCCCCTGTGGACACAAGTATAGGATGGAGCAGGGGGAGGGGGCAGCCACGGGTACCAGAAAGCCAGTGTGTGCAATTTACTTGCAGTGTCTTCTCAGGCCATTGTCTGACTCTGTCACGGCTTCAGCTTCCTCAGCTGCAAAATGAAGCTAACAGGAGATGCCGTGCAGAGCACCTGGCTCATGGCAGGTGCTCGAGAGGCACCAGAGTACTAGTGGATGGCGTGCAGCGCTGGGGGAGGAGGATGTTCTCTTGTCCTTTCACCGGCAACCTCCTGGAAATGTTCCTTCTTGACTCGGTCTGACTTCTCCACTGCCCTTGCTGCCACTTTCTGTTCCATGACTCCAAGCACTTCTCAAGGCTCAGTTGGTCCTCTGCCCTCAGGGGACACCATCCCTTTCCCTCTGAACAAGCCTAGATGACATCTCACCACCTCTGACCGAGGTCTGGAAGCCTCTTCCACAACACACTCCTTTATCTTGAATCTAAGCACTAGACACACCTGGCACCCTGCCCTTTTGCTATCAGCATCTCCAGGGACAAACTCACTACTGAAATGATTTTTAGTGCAGTGACCAAAAAAAAATAAAAAAAGGAAAGAAAATTAAACTACTTAGGAATCTACCTTTCGAGTAATATGAAATTATTTTCCTTTCGTAATAATATGTGAAACTTGACCTATAAATGAAAGTTATAAAAAGGGGTGCCCATCTAGTGGCAAAGGCTGGCTGAGCAGACTCAGATCTCAGCATTCAGCTGTGCTCTGCAAGGTGCAGAAGGCGCCCCTTACTCAGTCTTTGACCTATTCAGATGATCACGACCACAGACAACATGGGGCTTATGTGTAGCATACATTCCTTGCCACACTAAGTTCTCAGATACACCAGGTTCCTTCTTTTGCACAGGATATACATTTTAAAACACCACAGTGCCCTACTCAAGACCAACTGGTTTTTGTTTTTTGCTTTTAAAGATACAGGTATCTTTTAAGAACAAATACAACGGGGAAAAAGCAGCAATAGCAATTCTGAGCCTGGGCATCTGTTTACAACTCAATTAGGTCTGAGTGGGAGGGAGCAGACAGTCCTCAAGAGTGCCTGTGTCTGTGAATCCCTTCCACTAGGAAGGATCTGACAGACAAGGATAATTAGCCAGTAACAGGTTACTCCAAAATAGCCAGAACAATTAATAAAGCTACAACTCAATTACTGGCAGTTTTTTGAAGACAACAGTTTAGGGTGAGTTATTGATGTTTTTATCAGAAAATTTCCCTAACATTGACAAACTTACAAATTTGCAGGACAATAAAAGTTAGGACACACTTTCGTGTCCAGTTGCATCGAAGGCCTTTATCTTATTTTACTTCACTGGTTATGGCTGCAGAAGTTTAGATTAGATATTAGGAAGAACTTCCTGAGGCCACCCTGTAAATATGGAACTGCACGTGAGACAGCAGAAAAGTAGACAGTTATCTTTATTAGACGTCTGAGGGGCAGCTCGACTGGATGAGCTTTCCACACGCCCTCCAACCCTGTGAGTCCAGAAGCCTGTGCACAACAGACCGTGCTCCTTTAAAATACATCTTGTCATCTCTCTTGGGGGCTCTACCGTCAGAGAAGTGGTTGCGCTGAAATCCGTGTTACATATTTACCTTATGGATCTTGTTTGTAAATTTCTCTGTCTCCTCTTGATGCAGTCTGGTCGCCTGTGCAAGCTGACCCTGGAGCTCCTCTATCCATACACTCTGCTCAGGTAAAACAGGGGGGCCCCTGAGCTGATCGGTGGGATAAAGGAAGGGGTTTAGTGGAAGCAAGAACTCTGCCTGAGGTGAAGACACAGGACAGACATCTGCACAAGCCAGGGACACACACGGAGCGACACAGCCCGTGCGGGCGCTGCAGCAGTGGAGTGACTCCACGGCGACCCCGGAGATCCTCGTGCTTGCTCTGCGTCATCTGGGACGGACAGCTCACCCGCCCTTCCTCTCTTACCTAGCGGATGGGTGGTGAGTGGTGCCTATCACCTGAACTCCCACCACCACAGGAGGCACAAACCAGGCTGAAGAAGGGAGCCAGGGTACAAGAGAGGTGTCTTGGCTACCACAGCAACTTCTAGACAGCTTTTTAAAGTGCTGGGCCTGACCATTAAGACTGAGTCAAGCATGACCACATCACACACCGTCGGCCTTAGGTTCACCGCCCAAGTTCACACATGTCCTTGTAAATTTCACAGTTAACTTGCTCACACACTTTCTTATTAGATCTTTCCCTGTTCAGCCAAGTGCCTCTCCCGCTGTCCTACCCCGAATGCTCAGCGCGACTGGGGTGCGGCTCCTTCGATTACTAGAAACGGTTCAGGCCTCTTAATTGCACACATTGCCTAGGAGGAACTGCACATCTGCCTGTTACACTGTGGGTTACAAATAGGTACAGGAATCTGTTCATATTCTTTTCATTGGTAAAGTCTATCTTTTATGCCTTTTTGGTCCAAATGACAATGACAGAGAAGTCAGAGCTACCACTTTTGAAATAAAATGTTTTTTTAGAGATGGAAACACTAAAAATCTCAGGCATTGTTAAAATGGAAGCATGACATTTTCCCCACTGTTTACACTACTTGCAGGGAGGGGATTTATAAAGTGGGGAATTAGCGTAGACTGTTGCCATAAAAATAGGTGTCATTTTACTAGCTCGTTCTGATTACCTTTAACTAATCTGTTATTTTTCACTAAGGATACTGTTTACTCTTCCTAATCGGATGTTACCTGGGTTGTCATGAATGAAAATCATGCCCAAGAATAGAAATGCAGAAAATAAAAGGGCAAATCACTTCCCTCAGCACAGGGTATGACTAAGAGAGAGTTTACAGAAAGAAGGATGGAGACAGAAAATCAGAGACACTGCGGAGTCGCCAACTTTGGGGTGAAATTTTCAAAGCTAGAAATTTAAGCTTATCCTACTTTCAAGAAACTCAAGAACTACTGAGAACACTAATGCTCCTTTGATTTGCTAGTTTTAAAGATTATCATAGTTTTTTTATATCTACCAGGCAGAGTTTTGAGTTCTCTTTGAAGAGAGGTGTTTCTCTACACATTAAATTTACTCTAATGACTAATTCCTCACTTCTAAAAGTATTATTTTATTGGGTTTTTTTAATATGTATGGTCTTTTAAAATAACTTAATCTTTCCCGTTTGCCTGCCTTTCATAGTTTTGAACACACTTATTTTGTAGTTTCTATCTGATCATTGTAGAATCTGAATCTCAGAGCTGGAGCCCGATGCTGGCCATCAGCTGACTCTCGTTCCAGGTGTGTGTCTGTGGCTTGTGCTTGCAGTTTTGCATTGTGAGGTCACCTTCAATGGGGAGTGAGCTGGATCTTGTGCGTGGCCTGGCTTTGTGTCTGCAGAAGCCAGCAACAGAACATAAGCTTTCCTTTCCTTGGGGATTCCTGGGCCACCGGGCAACAACAGCTCAAAGCCTGATCCTGGTGAGGCCAGCTGTCCGTACCGCTACTCGGGGAGACGTCATGCTGGTGGACAAGCTTCCCTGTTGCCTCCCTCTCCCAGGAGGCAGATTCTCTCCAGTTCCGTCTCCCAAAATGTGCGGCCCTTTGGGGGTCCTGCTTTACTTCTTTCCCTGCCCCTTTTGGGCCTAAGGCCCTGTCTCCTGTCCCTATGGAGCTATTAAGACCTAAGGCTCTGAGATACCAATTCTGGAAACCACCCCCCTAACCCATCTACCTAGAGACAACAGATACTGCTCTGGTTTCCAATTCTGAAATCAATCCCAACCCTTGAAGATTTCCCTAACTTTCCTGGGAATTCAGCTATATGTTTAAAGGACATTTTATATTTTGTGCAGCCTTTTATTCAACAAATATTTATTGGGCACCTACAGTGCTAGGTATTACAATGGGGATAGAGCAGCAAACAAAGCTGCCAGACCCCTGCCCTGGGGGCACCCCTTCTGGCAGTTCCCACGTTTTGTCACATTGCCCAGGCCACTCCACTGCCGGCTCCACTCTTCAGTTACAAGTGACTCTCTAACTTTAAACTAAAAATCCTCCACATTTTAACACATCTGGTAGCGGCCCAAAGCTCCACATTAGATGTTAAATCAGGCATCCTAATCAAGCTTATCTTTTAAGAAAAGCAAAGACCTACTAATTTAGTTTCTATATATTACACTAAACGATTTAGTTTGGTTTTAGTCTTAATAAATAATGTATATAAACGGTTTTTATTTTAAACAAATATATGAGCCTGGTACTTCAGCGTCATTTGATTAAAACTGTGTTCCTCCATTTGAGCCACATCTTTGAAGGGTCACAGAAAAGGCCCCCGCAGTCCTGCGAGGCCGCTCCTCTGGGCCATCTGACTGACTGCAGCGGCTTCGGATCATCTGTCGAGACTGGTGGACAACAGAAACCGTGAGATCCTCCTCATCTATTAGATGTCCTACTTTCTTTTATTGTCCATTTTTGCTAATGGAATATTAAAACTCCTACGAACAACCACCTGCTCCTGGTCGGGATGCCGTCGCTCCAATGTTACAAGAAACAAAATACACACACGCTGTGACCGGAGCTCCAGTCCATTATTATTCTGCCACACAACCACACACGATCACACACATTTGGAGAAAGTTTCCACGTAACACACAGATTTCCTCTAGAAAAAAATACTCCCCATCATCACCAAATCCCCAAAGGTTTGATTCTAAAAACCACCCTTTGCCCATCTACCTAAGATTCTGATTATACACCCAACAAATTCATCTTGGCCTCTCTATGAAGGCAGTTTATTTAAACAAATACCATCCTCACCTGATGGCGAGGTTGTGGCGACTCATGGTCCTGACATCACAACCAGCCGCCCTGTCTTAGTGTTCTGAACCCCACGGCCCATGCTTCCCCCACATGGCTGCATCCCACTCCAATTCACACTGCTCACCTCCTGGACGACTTCAGAAAAAGTGGCTTATAAACTACTTTCCACCCTTCAGAAGATAACTTCACTATCTCAAGAAATAAGAAAAGGAATGCGCTTTATCATAGCCACTCTGACATCTAGCAATGCCACTTACATGTCAGGGCTCTATTCTACCTCCATCGACATGACTGCGTTTTCTGGCGAGTTCCATTTTGTTCCAGCCAGTTTTGCTACTGCTTCAAAAGTAGAATATGAGGTCAACACATGTGTACACATACTTGGCACGAAAACCCACGTCATTTCATCGTGGCTGGCATTTCACAGCTGAGGCATAAGTGATGGCAAATGCTTCGTGGGCTTCACTGATTAAAGGATAAGAGGAGCTGGGGCAGAGAGCTCTTTGAGATTTCTGACCCAGAAACTCAATCCTCCAGGCACCGGCTTGGTTTCATTTATATCTGAAATCTGACCAGTGCCCGTGCTTGGCTACTTCTCATTGAGAACTATTTTTAAGGCACCCTGTACATTCCAAGCCGCATATCCTATATCCTGCTCTGTCTTACCACATGGGAATCTCAGCAGGTTTGTCAGGAGCCAAAGGGAGCAAAGTCAGGGAGGAATCCGGCACGTAGTGATAGAATCTTGCTAACATCTACTGAGATGAAGGGGCAACATGAATATTTGTCCTTCTGAAGCCTGGTTGTTTTTTTCTGAGCAATTAATTTTTGTGTGGTTGCATTAATAGGTGACTTCAGCTCTCTCTGCCTGTGACTGGGCATGGATATACCATTCCCTTCTTAAGCTCAGTGTATGGACCTCCAAGTGGCAGGCCCCTACGACACAGATTTATCTCCTGAAATGCTAGTGTAAGAACGCAATTTCCCTTTTGCTCCTTCTTGTTAGTACTTCTGCTACTGGTACTACGAGTACTAATCTAACCTGGCCAAAATACCCAAATCTTCCAAAATAAGACTTATCTTCTTTCCCTTTTCCCCAAATATGACAATGTCTAAAGCGAAAATCATAGAAGGCCTTTAACAAACGACCTTGAGAAACTGATCCCTTTTTACAACCTCAGCTTAAATTCAGAGTCATTTCTCCTCTTAAGCCACTGATCCCAGGTGTGCGATCAGCCTCTGGCCCGAGTAAGGAAGGGCAAAGGGCTGCAGGCAATTCGCACGCATACAGTAGGAGCCGGCCAGCAGCACGCACGGCAGTTATTCCAGGGCAACGTGAGGGGGTGTCAAGAGGACTGCTGGCGGTCCATGGGCTTCAGTCTCAGCCTCGTTCTGGGTGACAGTGTCACCTTCCACTGGCTCCAACATTCAAAGCATGTCACCCACACAGTTCGCCCATCCCTCAAGGACCGTGGCGCTCCACAGGGTCTGAGCCTCGCGGAGGCTTCGGCAGGGCTGTTTCCCTGGCCGGCCGCCTCGCTGACCCCAGGAGCTTTGTGTACTGTTTCCACGACAGCCTCACAGGAAAGCAGCTGCCGCGATGTAGTGGGGGGGCGGTTTTCACTGAAGGCCTGTCGAGAGCTCTGCCCCCTAGACTGTCCACTGTACAATCCTTCAACCCAATGCAGTACTCAAAGCCCAAACTAAGCAGTCTGCCAGGGTGACATCCACCCCAGGGACAGAGCAGCTTCCCCAGACCCAGACTCTACAAGGAACTACACTGCTCTCCTGGAATAAAAGGAAAGCCTACGGAACTATCAACGTGGTCCCAGAACACATTTCATAACGTGCTTGTACACACAATTGAGTTTTCTCTTCGGTGTGAAATGCCTTAATAAATAGAAAAGTCAGAACAAAGGATGTTTAACTCCTAATTCATACCATTTCCCCTCCAGGAAACGATGCTCCTCAGACCCTGCACCTCTCACTGTGAGTGTTTTTTTTTTTCCTAAAGATTTTATTTTTTTCCTTTTTCTCCCCAAAGCCCCCCAGTACATAGTTACATATTCTTCGTTGTGGGTCCATCTAGTTGTGGCATGTGGGATGCTGCCTCAGCGTGGTTTGATGAGCAGTGCCATGTCCACACCCAGGATTTGAACCAACGAAACACTGGGCCGCCTGCAGCAGAGGACGCAAACTCAACCACTCAGCCATGGGGCCAGCCCCTCACTGTGAGTATTTTTGACTTATTAAAATATATAAAATTTAAGGAAACCAGACAGATGTTTAAAAGAAGAAACACCCAGGGCAAGAGAGCTGGCCATACAATTAGTCCCCTGAATGATCGTGCTTAGAAACATCCCCAAGGAGACGGAGCTCTTTTGGGGTGTCTGGGCCCAGTGCGGGTCAGTAGTGACCAGTCCCGGCTGCTGCAGGGCAGCGCTCCTCGTTGGGGGCTGGGGAGAGCACTGACCCAGGCCTGGGGAGCCTGCTCCAGGCCCAGTCCCACCACCATCACCCAGGGGCTCACTGGCAGGTCACTCGCTCTCCGGCCCCACTCTGCTCTTCGCAGAATGAGGGAGTCACTCTGAAGACCTGACATCCCCTTCTGAGCTACACCATCTGGTCACCCAGACCACCACATGGCGCCAGCTAGCTCTGCTGACCTACCTCTGAAATAAGGAGGGTTATTTCCCCACAACATTCGGCTTTATTCAACGAAGTCTTTTTCTCTCTCGAAAATCACTGCTGGTTTCTGAAGCACTGCACGCACGCGGCAGGCGGGAAGAAGGCACTTCCAGACCCCAGCGTGAACCAACCACTGTTAGAGTTTAACTAAGCGAGGTCGTGTGGGACGTGCTTGGAATGACGGCGCGTATGGGAAGGGAGCTGCAGCTCTCTCCAAAGGGTCGACCAAGGAGAAGAGGATGGCCACATCCAGCCACAGTTGTGCTTCTGGCACAGGACCAGGACGCAGCCAGGGGAGAGGGGAGAGGGCCACAGTGGGCAGGGAACTGATCCCAGGCCCTACTTCTCACTGCCAGTTTTGGTGTCAGCACTCGGTTTGAAGGACGGGACACAGACTGGCCTGTCTGGGACTTACACATGCTATCATTTGACCTACTCTGGGTAGTCTTTGTTTCTTTTTACTGTATATTTATAGTAAGAAAATCACGTAGCAAAAAAAAAAGAAAAAGAAAATTGGTGCCATGACCAGGGGAGCTGTGACATCCCTCCCCACTTGGCATCTTCAAGGGCAGTATGTACTTCCCTCTATTACCAACCATACTCGACATTTACAAAGCACTTAGCACTTTTTAGGGTACTTTCTCAGTCAAGAGCTCACTGGCTCTGAAAATCATCCACATATAACCATATGAGGTGGCAGGGCAGTATTTTTACTCACATCTTACAGATGAAAAAACAGAGGCCCAGAGACTTGCCTGAGAAACTGAGCTAGTCTTGGACACAGCTGGACTAGAGCCCAGGGGCCCTGACACCTGCGCCAGCATTGATTCCAGCCCTGCTAGCAAGAGCTGTGTGCAGCAGTAATTGAAGGCTGGGAAGCATGTCCTCCTGAGGCTTCCATCTTGGTTTCCATCCTGGAGATGGATCATTCAATTCATCTGCAATGTCCAAACTGTGATTTTTCTACTGCCCGAGTAACCTGCACTCTCAGAAGAAAGCCTGTGTGGGCCATGGGCTCATCAAAGGGGCTTTCTAGGACAGCTCCAGAATTATAAGACACACTGACCACTAAGTCTGAGGGGAAAATGGGGTTTTATTTGCTTCTGGTATAAAACCTAGGAATGTCTTAATTGCATTCTGGAATGAGAAAAACACTAAAGTTGATATACTGTAATACTTGTCTAACTCCATGTCCAATGACAGTGTTCAGAAAACAAACATAAAAGAAACATTATAAATGCTTATCCCGGGCAGTGTAAGCTTCTAACTGGGAGGGCCCCACGTGCCCTGTTGCTCCGTGGACCACCACAGCAGCCCCCCAGACAGCACACTGGGCTTCTGCTTGCTTTCTTGGAGCTCAGCACTGAGGTGCGTCTGGCCCTTAGCATGCAGAATGTCTGCTGTCACACCTCTGTGTGGTCCGCAGTTACCTCCCTCTGGGGCTTGGACCTGGATGCCACCTTCTTGGGCGAGGCTGGCCTCCACCCAGGTAATCCAAGGATGGTGGGACCACAAAGGATGTTTCTAAAAACTGTTTTTGTTTTTATTTAAGCTTTTGGAAGAAGTTTTCATGTTACTGTGTGCCCAAGCAACAAGAGGAGAGATGTGACATGCTCTTTACAGGATAAGGGGAAAGCCCCAGGCTGGAGATCTTTGATCTCATGCCTGGGTAAGACAGCAGCCCTGTGCACTTGCCTCTGACAGCAGGACCGGCGGCCTACCCAAGGCATTAGCTGCAAGCTGAGCCAGAAGGCTCAAGCGGCTCTGCCCTGTGTGCCTCTGGGTGCTTTATTTTCTAGTCAGATGCCTGACTATTTTGCTGAGCGAGCCTCTGTTTGCTTCCAGGTGTGAGAGTCCCCCTTCTTCCTCACCCCTGCCCTTTGGGAGCCACTAGGATGCCTGGAGCTGAGCAGTAACAGCCCCACTGGGACGGGGGAATTAGGATTCTTCACCCAGACCTTTCCTAATGTAGAGTGCATTGATGCAGCCCTGTAACAACCTGCCTTGACCGGCAGTATCACAGCCAGAGACTCACTCCTCTGGGATGCCTGTCTTTCTGTCCTGGCTGGAATTACTTGCATGGGAGAGCTTTCGCTGACAGGACTGCTGACAACGTTTCACAGGATGGCGTACCGGTGCGGCTGGGAGCTTTGCTGATGTGGGGTTACTAAGGCGATAGAGATGCTGAGGAGCCCCCAGCTCAGGAATGCACTCCCTGATTCTGTCCCCCAGCTGGAGCACTGCCACCAGAACTGGGGGCCGGGCCGGGCCACGGGAGACCTGAGGAAGGACAGTTTCCTCTAGACCAGCAAACACAGCGCTTGGTTTTCCTCCCTGCTGCCCTTACTGTTTGACAAGGAGCCACATAATGCTCACAAATCAGTCTCACGTGCCTTGCTCCACGTCCCGCATTCACGCCCCTGGAGAAACTGGTGTACGGACAGAAGGAAGCCTGTCTGACTGGAGTGTCAGCAGCTCGCATGCACTCGCCCTGCGTGGAGCCTCAGCTCCCAGCTGCATGCGATGGATTTTGATTCCAGTTAAGTCCCACTTGGTTCCACATCACCCTACCATGTTCCCTCAGGGCTGGGACCCAGGCAGGAAACATCACACAGCCAGCCACACAACAAAAGGAGGGGCGGGAGGGAGAGAGGGGGTTTGGCCAGTGGGACCAGCCAGCGTGCTGACCTCTGGACTGAAGCAGCTCTGGCCTCCCAGCCGGCAGCTCCCCACATCCCCGTCGGCTCGGCGGTGCAGCTCCCGGGCGGCCCGGAGGCGCAGGTGCTCCGGCTCGTCCCCTCGCTCCAGCCCGAGCTGCCACTCCATCTGATCTCTCAGTTTGGACTGTTAGGTGCATGGGAAGGATTTTTTTTTTTAATTTTAAATAAAAAACAAAGGACAAGAGGGTGGGGAGGGTGTGGAGAGAGGGGATAAAGAAAACAAAAAGGGGTAAGGTGGGTGACTGAAAAACTACCAGATGAAGAACAGCATGAGTAGAAAAACCAACTTAAACACAGTGGCGTAAGGGAGTGAAGAGAACAGAACCAAAATGAGGAGCAAAACGATGGGCTGAAAGATCTGAAAAGCAAGAAGAGAAAGGGGGAGAGTGCAGAACACTGGTCACGAGGCGCATGCAATGGGGATGCGTGAACCAAAGACGCAACCGCGGGCACGCTACCCACGAAGGATACGGAAGCAAGGCTCCTCCTTCCTCGCTTGTGGTCGAGCAGCAAAAGCCATAATCCAGGGTGGCCGCCGGGTCATGCACCCCAGGGCGACGCAGAGGAAAGCAGTCCTTGCTTCGAACGCTACTCCTCTCTGCCCTCACCCCGGCTCGTGGGGGCGGGCAGCGGGGCAAGCCGGCAGCGTGATTTTCCATCAAAACCATCCTTCTCTCAGAACCGTGCTCCTCGCTCCCATCCTGGCTCATCTTCCAATGGGAGTGGGTGGGCCTGGCTGCCTAGGGCCTTTCAGAACTGCACTGTGTCCCTTTGGCAATAAACCCAAGTAGGGCTGCACACACTCCTGAGCGAGTCTGCTAATTATCCTGACTTTGAAATGAGTTTGTACTTTGTTTTAAACTCCTCTTTGCTTCTTCATCAGGAAAGCTGGTCGTTTGAGACATCAAAAAAGGAGAAAGGATGGACTGCGTCCATCCCTATCGCTTCCATTGGGATTAGCCTTGTGTCATGAGGGAGGGCCTCTAAGCCAGGAGCAGCAGTGCAGTTAAAAAAAGAGGAAAAAGGAAAAAGAAGCAAGGAAATAAAAGAGAACTAAAAAAACAATAACCAAAAGGAACCCAACCAATAGAAAGAATTTGGTTGACACTTGAGGCTTTAGTACAATGCAGGTTTGAAATCATAACCAAGCAGCCGTGAGCAGAATGAGCTGGAGTGCAGCAATGCCAGCCAGAAGGAAGAGGAGTAAAACGGAGCAGGGAGGCGGAGCCCGGAGCCCCCTTACCTGCAAGTCTGGGACCAGCTCCTTCCCCAGGGTCCCGATGGGGGAGTCCCGGGATACAGAGGTCACGGTGGAGAGGAAGCTGGAAGATTCCGTGAGGTGGGGCAAGGGGGACAGGCCTTCCAGGCGCTCCCTCAGCCCGTCCCCAATGCGGTTCACCTGCTCCAGGAAGGCCTGGAGCTCCTTCCTGAAAGCCTTCATCCTCGCGTTGATGGTGCCCAGCAGCTGGGGCTCATTCTTGCCCCTCTCTCCCTGGTCCCCTTCCCCCTGGAGGCCCTGCAGCCCCGCGTCGGCTGCGAAGCCTTCGGTGTCGCTGATGAGGCGCTCCATGGTCCGCTCCAGCCGCTCGGCCTCGTGTCGTATGCTCCCCAGGCACTCGGAGTCCTCCTGGGCCCGCAGGAGCTCTGCCACGCAAGGCTCGCTCGCCTCCGAGGGCTTCCCACTGCCGAAGCCCGACGTCTTCTCGAACATCTCCTCCGAATCACTCTCACCACCAATAGGGCCTTCTCGCCTGGGCTGGGGTGGGCGGCCCTCCTCCCCATCGCTCTCCTTCTTGCCCGCGTCGCTATCGGCGTCACTGTCCCGGGGGCTCGGGGCCTGCAGGCCCAGGTGGGCGGCCAGATCATAGCGCTGGACGTTGGACAGCAGCACCCGGTTCTCATACTGCAGCTTCAGCACCTTCCCGCTCAGCTCGTTGATCTGCAGGCGGGCGGACTTCAGCTCCTCCTGCAGCGGGACCCCACTGCCCGCGCCCTTCTCCGCCAGCCACCCAGGCTCCGGCCGCAGCTCAAACTTGAACTTGCTCAGCTCGTGGGTCAGCTGCCGGTTGTGGTCCTCGATCTCAGATATGGACCTCCGGAGCAGCTCTGCTTCCTCCTCCACAAACTGCAGGTGTCGGCGGAGCTCCGTGGAGGACTCCAGGGAGTCACCGAAGGGTGAGGTAGGAATGCTTGGGATGTGGTCCCGGCCAGGCCCCTCTCGCTCATACTGGCCCCGCAGGTCTTCCATCTCCGCTTTGAGGCCTCGGTTCTCAACCTCCAGCTCCACAATCTTTCGGCCCAAGATGTTGGCTTCTTCCTCCACCAGCTTCAGCCGCAGCTTCAGCTCGGCCTCCCTGGTGCTGGGCGGCCCGCCGGCCTCCCCTGTGGGGAGAGGGCTGTCCACGTCGCCATAGAGGGCCTTGTACTTCTGTAGCTCCTGTTCCAGCTCGTCCTTCTCCTTCCCCAGCTTGGCCATCTTTTTGCGCATCAGGGATCCTTCCTCTTTGGCAAACTGAAGCTGGCACTTCAAATCGGCACTGTCATCCTGCCAGGAAAGAACAGCCCGAGAAAGGGTTATTTGAAAATACCAAATGTTCCTGTTTTTGATTTCCCTCGCACCTCGCCCCCAACACACACGCAAACACAAAACATCAATCTCTGTCAGTGCGTCGAGTTACACATGGAAGGGGCCAAGACCAAGCCGAGGGGAGCCCAGGGCCTCCACGGAGGGACATGGCAAAGGCACAGAGTCTGCTGCTTTGCCACAGAAGAGAAACCAAAAAATTACTTTAGAAAAAACGTGCACATGAAAACCGTCATCAGGTGATGAGTGAAGAGGAGTAAATGAAACGAGCCCAGCACACGTCAGTAATGCGGCGATCCCTCCTTACTTTGTGGAGCCGGTCTGACCAGTAACCAGCACCAGTGAGAAATACCAGAGCCCCTCGCTCAGCCAGCTGCCAGGAGACAGGCTTCAGCAGCCACTTCCACCTGTTGCCACTCACTTCCTGCCGGGTGGAGACCTCCCTCATCCAAAGTGGCCAGCAACCCACAGGTATGACCAGGATGGGGAGGCCTGGTGACCCCAAATTAGATTCCATCTTTCCACTGATTTGCTGAGAACCTGAGACACGGCAATTCACCTCTCCTCACCCAGTTTCCCCATCCCTGACATATCACAAGGATGACATGAAGACAAAAACATGAGATGATGGGCATGAGGGTGCTTTGGAAGTCGAGGTGCAGAGTAAGTACCAAGTTCTGATGGTTAGTATGAACCGGTTACTGCAAACCTAAACACCTGGTTACTCACAACCTCTTGCCATGCACGTGCAACCTCAGAGCCTTTGGTTATGATCCGTGCTCCCTTTAGTTGCTGTAACATGGCAGGAAATCAAACTCAGAAACCCAAGGCAAGGACCTAAGTGTTTCAAAACCTGAGAAGTGGTTCTCACTGGGATATCAGAGGATTCTGGAGGGTTACCAAAGTGGACTCTCTGTGCTAAAAGCCCACACTGCTTGGCTGAGGTCAAAAAGGCACTTTTTGGACCAAGTGGAAAGTCAAATCTGCCTTTCCAGCAGAGGTGTCAATGATTTGAACCTGCATGAACTCTGGTTTGCGCTTGTACAAATGTTTCACTACTCACACTCAGTGAGTGGGAGAAATGACCAGTTTCATTAAACATTCCTCTTTGATTGGCTATCATAAGTTTCAAAAGGCTGTCACGGGGACAAAGACTTCAGCAAAGGCTTCTCCATCACACAGAGAAACTCAACAACATGCTTCATGGTAGTGACACCCCATCAGCCAGGGGAGGGAGAGTCATCCAACCAGTCTCTGGAACAAGCCAACCCTTGGGGGGAGAATGAACTCTTTCAGATCACCATTTGTGCTCAAATGGTTAGTGGAGTTGATGTAGCTTTCACACTCAGAGAACATGGTTCATTCTCCGCCATGTTCTTGTTGCACTCACCATTGGGCAGAAAGATTTTGAAAGAACTCCCTTGGTGCCCCCTAACTTTCCTCCTTCTAGCCCACCTAGACCCCCCCCGCCACACCACAAACCCATGGAAGGAAAAAAAAGTGATGTGACAGGGAAGACTCTAGGAAAACCTAAGGTCAACTGTGAGCCAGTGCCATGTGGAAAGCAGGCCCTGGTGCTATCTGTGTGCCCTGTGAGGGACAGCGTTCCCACTGCTATGCTCTTAGCAGAGGATAAACCAGTCCTGCCTGGCTTGGGGTCAACCACAGTGCCTCCGTCCATGGCACCATGGCTGATTACACAGCCCTGATGAACCAGTCTCCTTATGTCTAAAGCAGGATCCTCACTCAATCACAAGGTCATTGTGAAGGTCAAATGAAATAATGTACAGCCAAGTGGTTTGCACACAGGGTCCATATTCTAGCACCGTAAAATTAAATTTATGCTTTGTCAGAAACGCAATTAATATTGGGGAAAGGAGCCAGTAACTCTGTTTTTTTCCCCATCTTTGCACATTAGGAGAGTAACACATAAATGTCACTGGGAGGAGAACATGGTCTTCGTGCTCTAAGAACTTACCGCATTAAGGATTTGATTTGGTTTGTTTTTGGTTAAGCAGACATAAAAAGGGTTTCTGTGACTAACTGGAAATAACAGCTGTCTGCCCCACTCACACTGAATATAATGGGTTAGCACCACCGCTGAGGTAATGATATGTATTTTTTTAAATGGCCTGCAGAGAGTACATGGGCTGTAAAAGACATATATTGTATTTAACCCTAAAACTAAAGGAAAAGCACGTTTATTTGTTGATTCATTTATTCTTTCAGTAAATACTGAGTACCTACTATGTACCAGAAATTGGCGTGTCACTTTTAAATGACCCGAGCTTCTCAGAAATTTCACCTTTTCACTTTTTGGTTAAACATAGATTTGCAAGAACTCTATGTATCCAAATACACAGAGTGGTCTCTGCTGTTCACGTGAAGGAGTGGACTTTAAATAAGCTAACACACATATCAATGGAGACAGACTGTCAATAGTTGTAAACGGATTAGTTTGGGAGTAAAAAGCCCGAGACAGGAAGACAGGGCAGGACACACAGCTCCGTCATGAACTTGATAGCCAGTGTCTGTCCTTTGTCTACATCACCTAAACGATCCTATCTCCACCCTAAAGCAGAGAAATTCAGGTTTGGGCCTGAGGTCCTGAGGATGGCAGCAGAGCTCAAAGAATATGTCATCAGCTAGCCATGAGGGGACTCTGCTCTCTGCCCACCTCAAGCCTGGGAAGACCCCGGAATAGGCAGGACTACCTGTTGCGACCAATACCCTGACCCCACTTCGAGGGAAACTTGCAACTGGTGAGGCCTTGCTATGGTGGAGGCCAGGCCGGAAGCGGGTGAAGGAGGGGCAGAGTACCTGTACAGCTCAGGAAGCTTTCGTCTCAAACCAGGGTCAGAGGGTCTCAGGTGATTGCTCCTGAGGGTCTTCCCCCAAAAGCTGAACTGAGAAACTGAGGAAAGGCGTGGATCTCTGAGAGGCACACAGAACCTGTGCCTCCCCAAGGGCTCGGAAACACTCGGCTATAAGTGCTTAGGGTGGAAAAGCTCACAGAGCCCTCAAATCACCTTCATCTCTGGAAACCTTGAACCTCACACCGTCCCCACTCCCATCCCCCATTCCCCACAAGTCTGACTATAAACCAGACCCATTCTCCTCTGTCTCCTTAAACCTAAACCCAGGCCAGTTAAATTAGAGGCAATGCTGTATGACATACCCTGACAAGCACCCAATTCATAGATTACCTGAGGATTGATAAAATTTCCAAAAAGTCTTCTTGTTCCTTAAAAAGAGAAACTATCCACACACCAGGAGTTCTAACATCTGATTAAAGCATGCCATCATTTCTACTCAACACCCATGCACTACCAGGCCTGCCACCAAGACTAAAGCAGTTTTTGAAAGAAAGACAATCTCTGAAGCCGAGGGAGTGTGTGCAGTGAACAAAGGGGCCAGCCTGCCTCCCTCCGGTTGAGGCGGCTGGAGCGGGCACTGCGCCTGCTGACTCGCGTGGGAGGGGGAGGCCCCGGGAGCTGGGCTCAGCCTGTCCTGGGGCGGAAAGCCACTCCTTCCAATAGGATGGGGAATCAGCCTCCGCTAAAGCAGTCAGAGTCTGGATACTTGTAACGCAGACTTTCTAAAACTCTGCCAAATGCCAGGGGAGGAGTCTAGGCAAATCTTAAGCCGAAGGATATCAAGCTCTGGTTTCAAGAGATCATCAGACAGATAGCTCAGGAATGCACTATGAAAGCAGAAGGTCGAGTCCAACTTTCCACCCATGGCTCCTGCTGCAGGCAGAGAAGGCAAGCATAGCATGGAGGAGGCACACACAGGACCCCTGCCCACCCTCCGCCCCACCAGCCAGAAAGGCCTTGTCAAGCAACAAAAATATATCGCGATGGGTATATATTCTTTGGCTTGCAAGTCAGATGTCTAGCCAGCACCCGAAGTGCTGACTCCTCGCGTTCCTACCTTGCGCCGGGGCGCCAGTTTCCTTTGAGTTTTGGTCGCAGACCTGCAGTTCCCAAGGCGCTCCGCTCCACCACTCTGCTGAACAGAAACTCCTCTCTCAATGACACTGCAGGCTGAGGGGGACCTAGCACACACTCCGGGAGGGGGCAGCACGGCTGTCCTCAGACTGATTTACCCACAGGTGAATGCGATGCCACACTGCTCGTTCTGTAACGGGGCAGCGGTCACCCTGCTAAGGAAAAGCTCTTCCCTGGTCAAGAGCCAGGAAACTGAGACATACTCAAAGCCCAGGAGGGCCAGAGCACCCAGCAGCGGGATGATAGATTTTAATTTCCCTGTGGTTAATAGATTCCAAAGGAGATTTGGGGAGTAGAGATTTGAGGTAGAAGAGAAAGGCATTCCCACTGTTCACACAGCCTGGCCCTCCTGGAAGGGTACTCTGGGGACCAGTGAGTTTGGAGAACCAGGAAACCAAAGGGAATCAAGTGTGGAATGCGCAGGGGCAGGCCAGCACTGAGGCCCCAGAGCTCTTAGTTACCCGGACTCATTGCGTCTCTCGAATTACTACTTGCTCTGAGAGCTCAGGGAGCTGATATCCCAATAATGCCTTTGTTCTCTCCAACACCTAATACTAGCAGCAATTAAAAAAAAAGAAGAAGAAGAAAGGAATCCAGTAAAGCAAGTGTTCAGAAAAGCTAAGAAAGTTCTAAAGAACACATACCAGGTACATAGAAAGGGCTATGCTTTTATCTTCTTTTGGTGAGAATGTTTCACTTTCAATTAGGACAATTTAAGACACTATTCAACTTGTGCATTTAAAAAAAATCAACAGCCAAAATAATGCCTCGTGAATGACCAACACCACAGTACTGTACTATTCTGCTGTGAACGACTTTACAGGCCGAAACACATTCAGCAGCTGCGAGCACTGCCAGAGCCCTAAGCTACGCCGAATGACGTTTCACACAAAGCTCGTCTGTTCTTCTCTTTCTTGAAGAGATCACCAGCTTCTCGGTGTGAGAAACAAAAGGGAGAAGCTGTTGCTTTGGAAAGACAATTTTCACCCCATAAAGGTTTTGAACAAGTCTAAATTTGGGGGCAGGTAATGTTTCTTTGAATATTTTAAAGGCAATGCAGACGCTTTATGAAAAAATTCAAAATAAGGTAATTGCCTCTTGAGGAGCTGTAACATTAGAATGAAACCTCTGCTTACCTGGTTAAAAGCTTTCTTTTCTTTATACGTTTCCCGACCGCCTCTTCTTTTCAGGGAACTCTGAAACAGATCCAAGTGACATTCTGTTACGGAGGGTCATATGCGGGAGCCAGCGCTAGGCAGACACTGTCCCCACTGCAAGGGGACATACACGATGGATGGAGGCTCTTTTTTTCACTGGAATCAAGAAACCACGTAGAGTCGACGTTAAAATGCAGTTGAATAAGCTTGGTGAGGTCTTCAAATCCTAAGATGCTTTAAAACCTAATTACCATCTTTGGAGTATTCCTCAATTACTCAGTTTAATGAAAAAGGAGGGTGGTTTGGATCATTTGTAACAGTGGAAGGCAGATGAGAAGAGGAGAAAGGAATTTTTGGAGATAGATATGCAATATTTCTGAAGCTGCCTTACCTTCCTAATTATGTTTTGTTTGGGCTAATATAAAAATTAATTGCTGTTTTCTGAGAAAATAGCTAGATAAAAAAGTGCTAGGAAAGAAGAGAAGGGTGGCCCCCGTTTATGGAGAAAATCTAATCTAGGCAGGCCACAACATTCTCCATGAACAACCCACGGCAATTCTTGATTAAACCTACATCACAAAGGTCGCAGAGTTCATAACTGGCTCCTATGTGCAGTGGCCTCGCCTGCGTCCCTCAGTGGGCTGGGTCCTGCCTAGTGCTACTACATTCCAGCGCACCTTTGCCGGATGCAGGCAAGAAATGTGTCTGAAATATAAACACAAGTGTGAAACAGAATAACAGGGACGCAGGACAGTTCCTGCTAAAGTAGGAAGACAGAAAAGAACGGACAGGAAGAAAAGTGAGAAGCATCCTAGGGGAAGACAAAGGAATTTGAAGCCTGAAAGGATTAATATAATCCTGAGACAAGCTGGAAAAAAGCAGTTTGGAAAGATAAGACTTGCTGGCTTTCATTCAGACCATGGAAGCCAGTGAATGGGAGGAGATCCTCCTGATGGCCGCCCCTCCCCTTTGTAGTTTCATCCTGAGGCGGGGACCTGGTGCTCCGGGAACTCATCCTGATGAGGTGGGTGCAGAGCCCTGGCTCTCTGCTTCATTCCCTGGCTGCTACCACCCTCCCATCACCCCCACCCCCACTCAAAACTGCTTGGGAAGGAGGCTCTTAGACAAGTCACTTAGGTCAGGTCAGACCTTACATTAATTTCCTCAGTACTGTTTACACTTGAAGTGTTTCACTCTCAGAAGGCCAGGCCTTGCCATTTGTCAGAGGAATTTCAAGGTCAAGAAATAATTAAAATTCTAGCTGCCCCTTAGCCTCTAGGAGGCTGGAGGCCTGGAGAAAAAAAGGTAACTGAGAGAAGGGATGACAAGGTTACAGAATCAGCAAGGAGTGTGGGCGCTCCCTGGTCACCCAAGGCGGGGGGTGCTTATCTCTAACTCCACGTGCAGAAGCAGAAGCAGCAGCAGGAGCGGCTGTATCTCCTACAGCCTTTTTACAAAGCAGAGTCAAAGCTTCAAAGAGAACCGTCTCCTCCAACAGGTTAGGTTAAGCCTGTCTTAAGAAGCTGTTCGAGTGCTTCCACCCATAATAAGGAGGTTTTCCAGGATTCTTCACGCTGCAGTTAAGGAGTTTCTTTGATTTGAATGAGCTAAGTGAGATGAACACTTCCTATGATTCACAAGAGGGAAGAGTTGCAATAAAGAAGCAAGGAGAGAGACTATTGCTAAGGCCTCAACGTCAGAGATTTCACTCTGGGCTGTGGTAGCCATCTAGGCCCACGGGGGTCTGAAAGCCACCCACGCTGCGTCACACTCCCAGCGAACAGCAACTAGACTCTACATGTGCTGAAAGGAAGCTAAACACCTAGAGGAAAGCTGGAAGTGGAGACAAAGGTCTCTTAAAATCTATGCCAAACCACGGGATGCTGCATTTCAGTTCTGCAGGAAGCAGCATGTTCTGAGCACTCCTGCCAGGAGGGAAAGGATAGGGAGGCACTGCATGGGCTCCTCCCAGCCCAGCCGCAGGCGGGTCATTTCCCCGCCTGAGCCCTGAATGCAACTGCCTCTGAGTTCTGTGATCCTTCTAGGGAATCCCGAATAGGCGGGGTCTCATGGGACGACCCCTCTAACGCAGATCCCAGTCACAAGGGCAACTACAATAGAAAACATTGCAAGGATTAAAGTTAACCAGAAATTTGCAGAACCTATATGAGAGAAACCATAAAACCTTGGGGATGGACATAAAAGAATATTTGATGCTACCTGATGGGAAAACCCATTTCTCCCAAATCACCTTTTAAGTATGATGTCATTTTAACCAAATACCTCCCTCCCCGCCCCCATAATGTAATATATGTACATATATACAAAAAGTGTGTGTGTGTGGATACACTTTCCGTGTATTTGTGAGGGTAGGAAGAGTATGGATGGACTTGCCAAAATGATTCAAAAATTCATCTACAACAGGGATTGGCAAACTATTGGCCTCAGGAGCATTTTAAAACAGTATGGGAAAGAATGGGCTACTTGGTATATGTTGGGGAAAACTGGCTAAAACAGGAAAAAAAATTGTAAGACCCATACCAAGTATCCATACCACATATCAAAAAAAACCTCCAGATGAATTAAAAATCTAGATGGAAAAAATCATAAAGGAACTACAAAGGAAGAGATAAATTTCTGTTTGTTCTTGGAGCACGGCCTTTACAAACACAAAAACAAAAGCAGAAACATCCAAGGAAAAGACTGATCAAGTGGACTGTAAGATTTTTAATTTTTTTATATTTCAAAAAAAACCATGTACAGTGTAAAACCTAACTGACAAAACGGTAAAAACATTTTTCTAACACACGACAGACAAAAGAGTAATATTATGCAAGCAATGGGAAAACCATCTTAATAAAAATATAAACAAAGGGCCAATAAGTAGATGATTACCAGCAATTAAAACAACAAGCTATCATTTTTTCACTTAGAGATTTACAGACTCAAAGAGATAGGACACCTAGCGTCAGCAAGTGTCCGGAGGCGGGCACTTCCACTCAGATCCACGTGAGTGGGGAGTCCTCTGGCATTCAGGGGGGCAACTCAGCCTGACAAGTGCTACCGGGTGACCCATAATTCCACCTCTGGGAATCTACCCTAAGGAAAAATGCAGAGATACGTGTGAAGATTTATGGTGAGAATGCTCATCACAGTGCCTTTTCTAACAGTAAATGAATACTGTGGAGGTTATTAAAATGATGTTTTTAGAGAATACTTAAAGATTCAGGATAGGGGCCACCCCGTGGCCCAGTGGTTAAGTTTGCACGCTCTGCTTTGACAGTCCAGGGTTTCACCAGTTCAGATCCTGGGTGTGGACCTAGCACCACTCATCAGGCCACCCTGAGGCCGTGTCCCACGTAGCACAATCAGAGGCACTCACAACTAGAATATACAATTATGTACCTGGGCAGGGGGGGGGGGGGGGGGGTGCTTTGGGGAGAAGAAGAAAAATAAGAAGATTGGCAACAGATGTTAGCTCAGGTGCCAAGCTTTAAAAAAAATTTTTAAAAGATTCAGGAAATACATTAAAAGGAAAATGCAGGTTACAAACAGCATGTATTTTGTGATTTCAATTTATATCTAATAAATTATAAATATACGTATGTATCACACGAGAATGTTAGAAATGTAGAGTGGAGAATTATATATCAAAATGTTAATAAGTGATCATCGTCAGGTGATAGTATTATGGATGATTTTAATTTTCTTTATTGTGGCTTTTCATATACTCCAAATTATCTACAGTGAATACTATTTCCTTTACAATTAAAAAAAACAGGAAGTGAAAATCTCTACTTGAAAGAGGTGAGAGGACAGAGTGACTGCTGGTCTCCCATGCAGGACTGCAACTTCATCAGAAGTTATTCACCAGCTTCTTGGGTCTCTTTCCAGAAGGTGATATTGTTTCTATTACCCTGGTCCTTGGGGTATAACCTATACATACATGGTTGGTTTAAAAGACCAGAAAGTCCCTGAGGGTCAGGGGAACTGGCCTGGTAGCCCACCGCATGGCAGGTCCCAGGCACCTGGCTCCCTCACCAAGTGCCAAGCAGTCACGAGGCCCCAGCCTCACCTGCTGAGAGTCTCGTCCAGGGCAGTGCTGAGTGCTTTGGTGGCCAAGGGAGCCTGCAGGTAGGGTGATCTGTATGAGTGTTATTCATGGCCAGTTCACTCCTCTGGATGACTCAGAGATCCACTGGAGAGGCTCTTCCAAGAGACAATTAAGGGAAAGGGGGAAATGACTATCAAGTAAACGGAAGGCAGGACGACGGACTTGCCTGCTGACTCATCCTGCTCTTTCTTTTTGGTCTGGCCAGCTGCCAGCAAATCAACTCTAAATTCCTATTGAAAAGGAAAAAATTGAGTTTGTGAATCTAAATTGACTCCATCTAAGGCTGATGCATGTGCTGAGTACTGAATATGATTAAGTAAAATAGGAAGTTAGGCCACAGTCTGGACTTTCATGTCAATTCTTAACGTTTCCTATTTTAGCCAGTTTCTTCCCAGCAATTTCACAGAAACAAACAAGCTCTCAATGGCTGAAGTGTTTCAGAGACAGACTTTGGGCTTAAAATTTAGGTTGGTAATAAAAGGAGACAAATAAAAATCAGGATGCTGTAAATTATGAGTCAGTATGGGAAAGAGGGCATAACGGCAGATGATTTTCAGAATTCTTACAGATTCTTATTATTTAGAAAGTTGCTTGGGTTTTTTGGGCTGATTTATAGCTCACACAGTTATAAAATCAGAATAAGAAAAGGAAGGTGCATAGGCCTTCCTTTTCCTTTCAGGAGGACATTAAGATTCTTTACCCATACTGAAGTTACCATTTAAGTGTTATGAGAATGTGAAGGAGAATTGTTAGCTTCTCCCTCAGCTAGAAGCACCAGGTCCTGGCTGGAGACCCTGCCCCTTCCTCCCCTCCACCGGCCCCTCAGCCGGCCTCAGGGAGACTGGCTGCCTTCAGGCCATGGTCTCCACACTCTGCTGCACCAGTTCCACTGCAGGACCCAATCAACATACAGACCCCTTGGATT